GGGGTCTTGCCAAGGTCCACTTGCACTGTCCCAGTTCAAGAGCCCCTCTGACTTGGGGGGCTCTGGTTCATTTCCACCCCAGCTGGGGACAGCAGTTTGGGCTGGCATTGGTGTTGCCTCTGACAGTGGCGTGACCTTGAATGGGTTGCTCCCTTACCCCGTGGGAGTAGAGGGTGAGGCACAAGGTAAGGCAAGGCAGGACAGGCTGTCACTGTTGCTTGCCACACTCCCCAACCTCTGCCCCCCCCCCCCCCAACCAGCTCAAGAAGTGCCCTTCCCCTCCGGCAAACCCAGTGGCTGGAGGATGGGGTGGCGCAAGTCTGTGCGCAGCTGCACTTGGGCCAGGCCCTGGCGGAACCCCAAAGCCCACATCTGAGCAGTGTGGTGTCCTATCCCCTGGGGAGGGGGTGGAGGCTGGCAGCTGGTTGGAGAGGGGAGCCTGGCCTATCCTGGAGCTCCCCCTAGTGACTCCAGAGGGGCCTGCGGCCAATCCTGTAGGCTGGGGCGGACTGTTTTCGGGGACCACCCTCCCCAAGCCATCCTGACTGCTCCCATCTCCAGCCTGATCATTGCAGGGTTCACCAAGCGGGGGTGTTGCGGTACACCCTGGCCTTCTCTCTTTCTCAGCCCCAGCAGACGCGAAGCTCTGTTGTTTCTGCCACACAAATGCCCTTCCTTCTCTCCACCCTCGTCCCTGTCCTAATTAGGCTTTGTGACCTTTCCCCGGATTACTTCTACTGTCGCCCTCCTGCAGTGCATCTTCCATACTCCTCCCAGAGGGAGCTCTGCCACATGCAAACCGATCGTTTCATTCCCGTGCTTCAACCCCTTCCATGGCTCCCCAGTGCCCCCAAGGACAAAGCCCAAACTCCTTGGCACCTTCCAAGCTCTGCATGAACTGTCCTCTGCTGAAGCACCAGCCTCACCTCTGATCACAGCCCCTCGGCTCCTGACCCCAGACCATACTCGCCTGCCTGCAGTCCCTGGGGGCACAGTGGCACCATGCCCTCTCTCACCCCTGACCTTTGCCCCCACTGAGTCTCCGGCTGGGGAAGCCTCCTGCCTCCTCTCTAGTGGGAACGCTATTAACACCCAAGGCTCCACCTCCTCTGGGGTACTGCCCTCTGGCAGCTGGCCTCTCTGTCCTTGGGGCTCCTGCCAGGCTCTGAGCATGAGCAAGTGTCTCCCAGCATTGTCCATGTGTCTGTCCTTCCACTAGATGTGAGCTCCTGACGGCCAAGGACTGAATGGCTCTCACCTGCTATGTGTTCTGCTTTCGGATGATGGTGCAGACGCCCTAAGACTGGACTGGCAGCTAAAACAGGGTATGGTCAGTGGTCTTCCGGGGAAGCCCAGAGATCTGTGGGGGCATAGGAGAGGCCCCAACCAAGCCTGGGGGTGACTGAGGCTGCTCTGAGGAAGGGGTGATAGAACCAGGTCTTAAAGTACTAGCAAGGCTTCAGCACAGCATTTAACCAGGTGGAGGGGGAGCAGACCCCGGAGCAAACACTTGCCAGCAAAAAGCCAACTTGGTGTGTGTGCGTGTGTGTGTGTGTGTTCAGTTGGGAGCATGGAGCTGCTGAGTGTAGGGGGGAGGGGAGAGGGGGCTGCTGACATGGATCCGCATGTGAGGGAAGGTAAGCAGGGAGCTGAATCATGAGGACTTTGGGCATCAGGCTCAGGAATTTGAACTTGGCCTGAGGGTAACTGCTTGTCTCAACAAGCAGGAGACACAATTTGGGATTTGACAAAGTCCTTCTGGCAGTTGGTGTAGAACCCAGGGGGGTGGGGGCAGGTGTGTTGAACTCCTAGGGGGCATTTTGGGGGTGCTGTCTGCCTTCACGATGACTGGGGGCCACCACTGGCATTTAGTGGGCGGGGCCCGGGGTTCTGGTCACCCTGTGACATGCAGAACATTCCACACCATGAAGAATGTCCCATTTGCCCTTTGACTTTGGAATGTTCTACCGAACATCTAAGTACAGGGAAAAACACCTGCTTGTGTCTGAGCAAGAGCCCAAGTCTTGCACATAAATACAGAGCATTTTGTTCTGAATTTCATCATACACTGAAATTGCCAGAAATACATGTTCCATGTAAATTGAAGGAAGACTGCTCTTTATCCTATTCAGAACCTTACCCAGAGTTGTCACTATTCTGGAAAATTATGTACTTAATGTCAATACTACTTATGGTATTTGAGTTGCCAACTTGACATTCTTCTTAACAGTCCACATTTGTGGCTGTCACATTCAGCGGGGCTCTATGTATAGGCACAAGTGTCTCATTACTTGATCATGTCTTCTGGTAGAGTTGATACAAGTACTTACAACTTGAAATACACCTCCTCTTAAATTACTTTCCTTATTAGTTTAACCAAAACTCACCTTAGCTCTTAACATGTGCCAGGCACTGTTCTAAGTGCTTCATGAATAATTACTCATTTAATCCTCATAATACAAAGTGCTGCATAGAAGAAAAAAATATCTCTCTTTTTTACTGGAGGGCTAACTAAGGCACAGAGAGGCGAAGTGACTTGCACGGAGAGGTGAAGCGACTTACCCAAGGTCACGGTGGAAAGGGTAGAAGCCAGGATTTGAACCAGCATCTGTGCATTTCACCACTAGCTTATAATGGCTCCTTCTGATGTTTCAGTTAGGGCACTAGGATGGTTCTCCTTGGGGAATTATATACAAACATATGCCATTTCGTTTCAAGGGAGTAAAGGATGACACAAGATACCTGTCCAGGGGGCACTGAAATGGTTGAGACTCACTGGCGGAGAGCTCACACCCACCCCAGGTCCGGAGGATGGGGAAACGACTCTCCTAAGGGACTGTCTCTGTAGAGGAGCTGGCCCACTCTCACTGTCTCTCCTCCAGACCCTGACAGGGAGTCGCCTGCCTGCCGCGTCTTGGCTCCCCGGCCTCCTCCTTCTCGCCCACATGGGGGCTCCCCCCCCTGGGCTGTTCGGTTTCTGCATCCCTCCCTCCCACACCCGGGCCCTCCAGACCTCAGAGGGCAGTTCCGGGTCTGGCCACAAGGTGGTGCACAGCGGCTGCAGGACGCGGGCTGCGGTGGCAACGGGAGTTTGGACTGGCGCCCTGACCTCAGGGCTCATTGTAAAAGTGTGGATGTTTGTGTCTGTGTATCCAGAGTCCCAGGGGGCTGCGGGAGCCTTGCCGTCCTCCCGTCTGCCCCCTCCCCGGGCTGCCTGGATCTCTTAGGAACCTCTGAGACACAGAATAAACAGGCATTTGCTCTGCCACTGCAGTTCATTAAAGAGCTTTACAAGGTGGGAACTTATTTCCATTTCACAGATTAGGAAACTGAGGCCCAGCGAAGGAAGTCACGCGCTGAGGTCACTCTGCTAATCAGTGGTGGAGCTGGGTGCAAACTGGGATCTATTTAGCTGGGGGGCCTGTGCTTTCCCGCAGAGCTAAGAGGGGCTTGGTGGTGGTGGGAGCTCCTGGTATCTGTGAGAGGCAGGGAATTAAATCAAGGTGGTTTCGGAGTGACCAGGGTCCCAGAAACAAAGGAGCACCTCCCACCCCAGAGGGAACAAGACTCCAAGGTGGGGCTGGGGCAGGATGTGGATGAAGGGTCCACCCAAGGCCTTTGGTTCCCTCTCTGAGTACTTTGCCAGGGCTGGAGGCCCAGCGTGGCCATAGGCTGCCCACGTGCTGTGTGATGCCCGCTACTCTTCTCCCTGCTGTTCCGTGGACCTGGAGCACAGGTTGAGCTCCCTCCATCACGGCACATGTCTGCCTCTCCAGACTGTGCCCTCTGGGTGTCAGGACCCAGCCCAGAGCCCAGCACAAGGTCTCAGGGTGTACTGAGTCCATGGTCATTGAATTGAGTCAAATGGGGTGCATTGGCAGAGGCCAGTGGCGGGTTCAGAAAGTCCTTTCAGCAAGAGTTTCTTCTTTCCCTGGAGCTGAGCGCAGGGGAGGAAAGAATGGCTGCTTTTTGATGTTGTGGTGCCTTAGAGATGGCTTGGATTCCTGGATCCTGGTCCCCCAAAGAACCCCTCTTCTCCATGCAAACAACATTCCCTTCTCTAGCCTGCAGCAAGCAAACATCACATGCAGCAGGAGATGGTAAGGTTAGACAACAAGAAGGACTTCCTAGCGGGGGAGAGGGAAGGTTTTCTTAGTTACAGCAGCCATTCAGTAGAATGGGCTGCCTTGGATTGCAGTGAGGTTTCCAGAGTTGCAAACAGCAGAGACAAAGATTTAGGCCAAAGGGGAGGAATGGAAAAGGTTCGGTTTGGTTGGTAAGGGAGGGGGCCAGGGGCCTCACCATGAGGGCCATGGAAGGAGGGGTGCGTGGGGGCAGCGTGGGGCTTCAGGGAGTGATGGGGAGGGATGGGATTAAGAGACAGTGAGAAGGAAGAGCCCCCAGAAGCTGGTGGATGAGTGTGGGGAGAAGAAGGGGGCTGCAGGGTGGCGGGGGCCTTGTTCAGGTGGGGAGCCCTGAGAGGGAACAAGCTGGGGCGGGGTCTGGGGCTTCTGAGCAGAGGGGAGGTCTGAGAGGCTCCTGGATGCTCAGACCTAGGCTGGGGAGGGAGGCCCAGGCTGAGAGGAGATTGCTGGGGGGGGGGGTGTCCATCAGGGTGGGGTAACCTAGGACTTGGGAGTAGCTGGCATCATCTGGGGAGAACAGAAACCCTCCTCTCCCCTAGAGGCTGAGGCAGCCGGGCCTGAGAGATGGGAGGAGGGGGTGTGGGGGGGGCGGCATGGAGATCAGATCCGACTGCAGCAGCCCCTGAGGACTGTCTGGAGCCCTGGAGCTTGGAGAGATGGGGTGGGTCAGACCCCTCCTCTCCGGTCTGTCCCCAGTGGAGCAGCCTGGGAGGGCCTGGGGTGGGGGAGGAGGCGGGAGGAGAGGGAGGGAGGGGCCGGGCCTCTGTCCATGGCATTAGTGCTGGTTGGAGGGAGAGGGGGGTGTGGAGACAGCCGGGCCGCCTGTTCCCACAGCCGTGAGCTGAGCGTGCTGCCATGGCGCTGGCCGGGGCTGGGACCCCGGCCCTGGGGCCCCTGGCCCCTCTCCTGCTCCTGATGCTGCTGCTGCTCTTGACTCCTGCCCTCGCCCTCCTGGGTGGTGAGTTGGGGCACAAGCCTTGAGGGGTGAGGGACTGGGGGAGGGTCTGTCTCCCAAAGCAGACACCCCAGGCCCTGGGGCTCTCTGTGTGGGTGCCAGGCCTGACCGCAGGGCTGGGTGCAGGCCAAGATGTGGGTGCAGAGGGGTGCGCTGCAGCGGGCCACCAGAACGTGTGCGGAGGAGAGTGCGTCCTGCGACTTGGGGGTTGCTGTGTAGCGTGGCGGGGGGTGGGGGGGTTGAGGGATCCTGAGAGGGGCTGTGTGGCCTGGGAGGGCTGTTGGGACTAGGAAGGCCTGGGCTGTGAGGCCTGGGTGTGCGGAGTTGCGGGTAGTGTGAGCCTCACCCCAGGGTCTGCTGTGAGCATGTGCTGGGCTGTGGGGTGTGGGCTGTGGGTGTGTTAAAGTTGTAAGCTGTCCCGGGTGAGCCGTGGTCTAAGGCTTTCTGGGTGTGGTGTGCTGTGTCCTAGCACAAGTTGTGGGACATAAGTTGTCAAGTAGGTTGAACTGTGTCTTAGCTCTCGACATGGGGACATGGGGACATGGGGTGGGGGCAGTGGACCCCAGCCCGGTGGATCGCAGTGAAGAGGGAGAAGACCTGGGAAGCCAGGCTTCTGCCTGCATCCCCTCCATTTGTGTGTTAGCCTCGCCTGCACTGGGGGGCCGGGGGTGCTCTGGGGCCCCTGGGGGGTGGCCAGGCACTCAGGAGCATGTGTACCCCCCGCGGCCCCCTCTCTGGCACTCCCACGCCAAGCTGAAAGGGCTTCCTGAAGCCAGACCCCATTTGCCAAACGGTTTTGCTTTTGTCCAAGTGGATTCACGTGTGTGCGGCCTGGATGTCTTCCTGGGGGGTCTGGGGGACGCTTTGTCTTGGTCACTATAGCTACAGGCCAGGCCTGGGAAGTCCCCTGACCCCGCCTCCACTGCTGGAGGAGGGAGGGGGAGCCAACCGGGGCGGGTGGCCTGGGCGTCACAGTGATGGCGGGGAGGAGGCTGGGTGGTGGTGGTGGTGAAGGGACTCACCCCTCAGAATGGGGGGGGGGGAGGTCAAGCCTCCCCAGGCCCCTGGGTGCTTCCTCCCCGTTCATGGGGCCTCCTCTCGTCTCCTCCTCTCGGCAGGGGCCCTGGGGGAGGATGAGGACCCCATTTTGTAGTGGAGGACACTGAGGCTCAGGCGGGGATGGGGGCTTACGAGCTGGGCCCCTGAGGCAAATCTGGGCTCATGAGAGGAGGTGAGGGCCTGGCTTCTGCTCTCTACACGAGAGGCAGGAAATCCTGATCTGTCCCTGGTGAGTGTATACACTCACATATGTGCGTGCACACAGAAGAATGACAGAAGGGCACACAGCTACCTGCGGACACATACACACGGAGACACACATCACACACGTGGATGCACACATACGCATATCCCACACCTGCACACTGGTGTGGCTGCACAGAGCACACAGCACCATGTGAACAGGTGTCCACAGGCACATGCAGACCCCCCCACCCCTACATGGACACAATACATGCCCACACACACCAGTGTGCGTATGTTGAAACATGCATTCATACTGAAGTGTACATTCACGTGAACCTTGAGGCAGAGTCAACACAAAGTAGATGGATGCTATAGAAAAAATGGACCCTGATGTACATGCTCACCTCTGCGCAGCCCTGCTGGGGTGCCCAGGGGCAGCCTTTCCCACTGTGATTTCTCTGCAGGGAGCCTCCTCCCTGGGAATCCCCAAAAGCTGGGGTGAGGGCACCGCGGGCATGAGTGTTTCTGGATACCCACACCCAAGGCCTGAGCGCCTTGGGGATTGTGCCACTTGAGAAGGAGTCTCCATCCCAGAGGGGATGGGGGTTTCTGGAAGCCCTGGGCGCCTAGCTATGCTGCTCTTGCCCACCAGGCCTGGAGCTGAGCCCCTCCAATCTGGGCCCACTCTGCCACAAAAGCCTGGCTGGTTGCTGTGGAGAGGATGAAGCATCTTGGAGTACAATGGGGCGCGCTGGCTCTCACATCCCTCCCCACACCCAGGGAGCCCCGCTCACAAAGGGGCAGCAGTCCAGCCCCCCAGTCTGGCCCCTCCTCCAACGGGAGGGAAGGGGGGAGGGGGAGGGCTGTGGGACAGAGGCAGGGAGGACGGAGAGCCACACACGTGTGAATCCACGATTGGCTGGATAGACAGCCTCCCGTCCAGGTCAGTGAATAAATACCACCACTGACCACCACCAGGAAAATGCTGTGCTAATGAACTAACACGATGGGCTTTGTTCTTTTTGGTTTTGTTATTAAAGACTGTATTTGCTTATTTATTTATTTACTTACTCATTATTTTTCAGTAATCTCTACACCCACTGTAGGGCTCGAACTTACACCCTGAGATCAAGAGTCGCATGCTCTACCGACCGAGCCAGCCAGGCGGGCCACAGGATGGACTTTGAATCTCACCATAGCCCTGTGAGGTCGGCTCTAATACCCCCAAGTTTACAGAGGAGGAAATGAGGCCCAGAGAGGGTCAGGAATGTGCCCAGAGTCACAGAGCTGGTGTGTTGGAGGGCCTGCATTTCACAGCTGGCTTAGGGACTAGTCTGTGCAAAGTCACCCCCTTCTCCGTGCTTCTGCGGAAAGAGAGCAAATCCTGTAACTCGGAGGCCATCACAAGGTTCTGATGAGAAAACACAGGGCTTCTCTAATGCAGGTTTGGCACGGAAGCCCCAGTTTCAGGGGGCATTTTAGATGGAAGACCACTATTGGCTAACAGTGGCCTGTTTGGGTGGCAGAACCCACCGAGTCTGTCTCACCCTCACGCGGGGCAGTATCCCCATGGCCCCAGGGCTCTGAGACCAAAGCCTGGAAACGCTGGGATAGGCCAGTGCCAGGCACGGGGGCAGGGGCGAGTCCTGGCAGCCAACGTTTCCGTAACTGTTACCAAAAGTATAAATATTTACCCCCCGCCCCTTTCTAGCCTTGAGAGGTACACATTTTTGTAAAACAGTGTTCCAAACCCTTCTGTCTTGTTAGAGTAACTTATCCCTCTCCTGACAGCCACGAGGCAGTATCTGCATGTACCGCACTGCTGTTGTTCAGGCCTGTCCCTGGGGCCTCGCAATATTAGACGGACAGTTCTTGCCCCTGTGTCAGAAGCTCCCACATCTTACAAACTCTTGGGCCACTTCTTAGAAATAGCCTCTTTCTTGGGGCGCCTGGATGGCTCAGTCGGTTAAGCGTCTGACTTCGGCTCAGGTCATGATATCACGGTTCATGAGTTCAAGCCCCGCGTCAGCTCTGTGCTGTGAGCAGAGCCTGCTTCAGATCCTCTCTCTCCCTGTCTCTCTCTGCCTCCCCCCCACGTGACCGCACCCTCTCTCAAAAATAAACATTTTTTAAAAAAGTATTAAAGTTTTCAAAAAAAAAATTAAAAAAAAATATCCTCCTTCTTGCATTGTCAAGTCAAGAAGCCTCTCAAAATCCACCCATCCATCCAACAACTTCTCATCAGCTGTTGGCCGTGATCACTAGGCCTGTTATAAGCGCAGGTAAAGTAGGAGTTACTATGCACTGAGTGAGGCCGGAAGCGCCGTGGGGCTGCTAATAGCCGGGTTCTGGATAAAGAGGGAAGGACTGGCTCGCGCTGACCAGGCTGATGCTGGAAACTCCACGCTTGCCGCAACCCTTAGAGCCTTTACCCAGCGCCTGGGTCAGGCCGGGCTGGAATGCACTAACACGGCTGCCGACTTAGAGTTTGCAGAGTGGGAATTTCACAGGCTTTGGGAGATGCAGACCTTTCACAAGTCTGGAGATGGTAATCTGCTTCTTAGCTTGTTGAGGGGAGGTGTGTGGCAAGTTTATAACCTCTCCGAGTTAGGAACAGAAGTTTTCTCAACGGCACCCACCTTTCCTGGTTTGAATCAAATGTAATAATGGAATAATAGATGCAAGAGGTGCAGAACGGCCTGGAGCACATAGTCTGAGCTCAGTAAATGATGGCTGTTACATTACTATAATCGTCCTCTCTGGGGAGAGAATTCCCTTCAGCGGCGCGATCTGGGCCTTCCCCAGACGGGGCCGCAGGTCCAAGGGGAGGGGCGTGTGTCAGTTAATCCCTCCCCTGCCGGGTCGTCCCAGGCAGTCTGAGAGGTCAGGAAGGATTTGTAAAGATAAGCACAGGCCCCTCGTTGCCCTGGCGACAGGCCACACCCCCCAGCCTGGCTCAGGGACGGCCCCCCTTTGCCCCACTGCCCTCACCTCTGTGCCTCGCCACCCAGGGCTAGCCTGGCCTTCGCCCAGGGCTAGCCTGGCCTTCTGGTCTCCCTCCTGCAACACAGAGGACCTGAGGGCAGTGCCGCAACGTGCAGAGGATTCCCAGGGAGCCTGCTGCAATGCAGATTCTCAGGCCCCGGGCCCAACAGCTAGGTCTGGAGCAGGGGTCAGAAATCTGGATTCTTAATTCAGGCCGGAGGGTCTGGAGTAGCGAGACCCGGGCTTGGATTCCAGCCCCTCCTGGGCTGTGGGACGGTGAGGTCACTTCATCTCTGGGGCTCACGCTCCTTAGCTGAAGGACAGGAACCACGGCACCATCTGTCTCCTAAGGTGGATGCTAATTACGACGGATTGGGAATGCACAAGAGAGGGCTGTCCCTCACAGGCAGGCTTTCGGTGCTACTGTGCGCCTTTTGGGACAGGCAGTGCCTCCCTCTCCACCGGCTCTCACTGGAGGGGCTCCTTCCTCCTCTGTGGCTGGACTGTCTCCTGGGGTCATGGGCCACCTGCTCCATGGTGATGCAGCACCCGCCCCATTTCCTCATGCATTGTCTCCCCAGCCTGGTCCCATCTGCTCTGAAATGGAAGGCTCTGAATGGGGGGGAGGGCAAAGCCCTGGATCAGGGTGGGGGTCCCTTCGGTCACACAGACCAGGAGCAGCGTCTTGTTGGCATTAGAAGGGGCTGCTGGTGCAGGACCTGGCAGCCAGGGCCCCTCAGAGTGGGCCCTAAGGTCACTGTCCCCCGGTCCTGGGCTGTGCTGGGTTGAGGGAGCCTCATCAGAATGGCCAACAGCCCCTCACGGGGGCCCACTGGGTACCACCGCTGCGTGCACATCACCTCAATGGCTCCTCACAACACCCCATGAGACGGCACTCTTCGAACCCAGGCCTGTCTGATGCCCAAACTTGTGTCCTTTCCTAAAGGAGCTTGATTCACTCCCACCCCCATCCGGGCATCTTCACACCCCTATCGGATAATCTAGCCCTAAAGGTCATGATCAGCCCCAGTGGCTGGGGTGGGGAAAGAAAGAGGAGCTTCCCAGAAGCCCCTCAGAGAGGTGCAGACTCCCCTGCCCTCACCTACTCGTGACTAGGCTTGGGAGGGGGGCAGGGGACCACTGCCTGTGGGTGCTGGAGTCCTATGGGGTTATGTTGGCTTGCCCCCTGCAACGCGCCTAGCCCTGGGAGGGCGCTAGGGCCCCGCTCAGGGCATGAGTGAGCCCAGGTTGAGCTGTACCAGGTGCTTTGGGCACTTGGGGGTGGGGCTGACAGCCAGGTTCTCTCCCTGGCGCCACGGTCCACATCTCCATATCCCTGTCCCCATCCTGCTGGGCCCTGGCGGGAAGGGTGGGGGTCGGCCAGTGGACAGCCCTGCCTGGTGGAATGTGGATGACAGCCCTGGAGAGGCTCCTGAGCCTTATCTGGGGGGTGGGGGGGGTCTTCACCAAGGTGGGGGAAGGGAGGCGGAGGGCCTGAAGCTGTTCCAGGCCTGGTTAGTGTCTGCATGACACCGTGGGCAGGGGAGGGGCGCCTCTCAGAGCCCCAGGTTGCGGGGGGGGGGGGTGCCTCCGGCTCTCGGGTGGTTCTTCTCCCCCATCACTCACTGAGCTCCCACAAGCCCGCAACTGCATACCTGAGGCTTGAATCCTCCCACACTCTGCAGGCCTGTCCTATTAGCATCCCTTCTCTGACTGGAGACAGAGGCTCAGTAGGAGAAACAACTCGCTCAAGGCCTTCGAGCTAGTAACCGAGCAGGGATCTAAACCCAGGGCAGTTTTACTTCAAAGCCTAAGTTCTTTTTATTTTTTCTTCCAAATTTTTATGTAAATTAGACAGTGCTATATTGGCTTCAGGAGTAGAATTCAGTGATTTGTCACTTACATACAACACCCAGTGCTCATCCCAACAAGTGCCCTCCTTAGTACCCATCCCCCATCTGCCCCCCCATCGCCCACCTCCCTCCATCAACCTTCAGCGTGTTCTCTATCATTAAGTCTCTTATGGTTTGTTTCCCTCTCTCCGCCCCCACCTTTCCACACGTTCATCTGTTTTGTCTCTTAAATTCCACATGTGAGTGAAATCATGTCAAAGCCTAAACTCTTAATCCAGCACTACAGGCTCTCAGGAAGGTGGGGGGGTGGGGGGTGGGCTCTCTCAGTAGCTTGGCTTCAAGATCAGCAGGTGACCCTCTGACACAGTGGAGGCAGCACAGTGGCCTGGGCCAGGGGTCTGTCAGCAGGTCTCCATACCTGTCCTGTACCCTGTGACCCTGGCCAGGCCGGCGGTCAGGCGATTGCCTGGGGGGGGATGCAGTGAGGGCCAGCGATCCCCTGAGAGGTTTCTAGGCCGAGGAGAGAGAAGATGGCAGGGAGAAGGGACAGGGAGGGGGCCCAGCTCAGTCCCTGCCTTTGAAGTCCTCCATCTCTGGTTTCACACAGGGATGGAGCTGTCAGACCCTAGCAAGAGAGGTGGAGGGGACAGCGGGAAAACACACCCCCAGGGGGGAAACGGAGCAGCTACAGAAGGGGAGACCCAGAGCAGACCCCCTCCCCTCGTGGGGCTGAAAGATGTGACAGGCTTGAAGGCTGTCCCAGTGCTGACTTGCCGTGAGGCAAGCGGCAAGAGTCTTTGCTTTCTCTTGAGTCTCAATTTGCTTTCTTGTAAAATGGGCACGACAGTGCCTGCCCCAAAGGGCCACCGCAGGGAGGGGGTGAGACAGCGGAGCGCAAAGCTCCCAGCGGCAGAGGGTGGGTGCCCCGGGCCTCCCTCTATCCTCCTGAAAACGGACAGACCCATGCTGCTCTCTGGCTCCGGGTCTGGGGTGCGCCCCAGTTGTGGGAGGGGGACGCCCCGGCTCACCCCGCCCAGCCAACTTTCTCTCTTTGCAGGAACGGTGGTGCCATCGGAGACCCCAAGTGTCTGTGCCTCAGACCCGTGCGCCCCAGGGGCCGAGTGCCAGGCTACGGAGAATGGCGGCTACACCTGTGAGCCCACGGAGCCCCAGGGCTGTGCCAGCCAGCCATGCCACCACGGCGCTCTGTGCGTGCCCCAGGGTCCTGATCCCAATGGCTTCCGCTGCTACTGCGTGCCTGGGTTCCAGGGCCCACGCTGTGAGCTGGACATCGACGAGTGTGCATCCCGGCCCTGCCACCACGGGGCCACCTGCCGCAACCTGGCTGATCGCTATGAGTGCCACTGCCCCCTCGGCTATGCAGGTACGGGCCTCGGCCGCCCTGGGAGGAGGCATGCAATGTCCATCCCGGCAGTGGCGCCTGAATTCAGCTCTGACTTTAGCTCAGAGACACCCCCAGCTGCCCTGGAAACTCCAGACTATTCTGCTCTGAGTCTTGCCACAGAATTGATGCCTCTCGGGCTGGCCTGGCAGCTCTGACTCGGAGTATGAACGTGTGATGCGTAGGGGGCCTGACACTTAACAGACACTGGACAAATGTTATTTCGGTCCCTTCTAGAGTTCAGTTTGGCGCGGGGTGGGGGGTGGAGACCCCCCCCTCCCCGGCATCTCTGGTGGGACCGGAATGCAGGTACGCCTGGTTTGGATTTAATAAGGACAAGTCTAGACAGTCTTTCTAGCATCTACTCACTCCAGACCTGTGTCAGGCTGCAGTGTAGACGTCTGGCTCATCACAGGGTTCTAGAGTCTTTACTCCTGGTAAGCTGCAGGTTGTAATGTGGACCCTCCTCCCCTCTGGGAGGCCCCTAAGCTCCAGCAGGGAGACTCTGTTGGTCTTGTTCAAACTGTGATGGGGACGCACCCACGGGGATCCCTGCTGTCTATAGTGGGGGGATAATGCACAGGCAAGTGACAGGCACTGGGACACGCGGGTTCTCCCCTCCAGAGCAGGGCCCTGTCCCAGGCCCGTCCTCGCTCTCAGGCAGGGACCTCCTGGAGGGACTGCCTAGAAGGCAGGAGGGAGGGGGCAGCCAGGCACAGGTCTGGAAGAGGCTGGGTCTACAGCGGTGGGGAGCCTGCAGTATAGACGCTTCTGGTTCTATTTCAGCCCTGAATTCAGACAACTGTGCTCTGAGGGCAGAAGGTAGTTTCAGGTCACCTCAGAGCAAGGGGTACAGGCTGCAGGGGCTGGGCTCCATGGGAGATGGATCTTGGCACTTTGGAAATGGGTCCCCTGGGTCTTTCTCACCACTTGAGAGCCTTGGTGTCTGGAGTGTGAGTCGTGTGTGTGTGAGGGAGGTCACGCCAAGGGCCCGTGTGTCTGCCAGTGTCTGCGGGCTGTCTGGGCTCCCTGGACGTATTTGTGGGAAACGTAGGTGTGTTCGCAGGTGGGTGTGTGCCAGCCGTACGGTGCTTGGGCGCTTTGGGGGAGCACTTTCTGGCTGAGCTGTGGATGTGAGCATGGGCAGAGTTTGCTGTGACTCATTTCTCTCCTCCTCTTTCCGTTCCAAGCCAGACCGGGGTGGGGGGGGGGGGGGCGGGGGGCTGGGATTCCAGGCGGCCAGGGCCTGGCTCCTCCTGGCACAGGGTGGGTGGGAGTAGGGCTGGGGCGGGAGGAGTGAGGGGTCACAGGAAGGAGGGGCCAAGCTTTGTGCTCACTGAGCTGGGAAGGGGGGAAGTTTCCAGCTGGGACCAGCTGGGCCCCTGGCCCCCAGGACCAAGGCCACTTAGGGGACAGGGACAGGGCCTCCAGAGTCTACCATGACGTGCGGGCTCCCCGATGCACTCAGGCAGGACATCCCCGAACCCGGAGATTTTCCATCTCCCTCCACCTCCACACACCCTGGAGGGCCGGCTGACTGTCCGAGGGGGTTCCCAGGACTCTGGACTCGGTACTGAAGCAAGACGGTGCAGGGGGAGGCAGGAGGAGCTGGTCACTCCCGCATTTCTTGCAGGGGCATGTCCCTCCCCGAGGGAGGCCTCTCTATACTCGCTTCAGAGGCAGCAGAGTGAGCCTTCTATAGCATCCATAGAACCGGGTGGTTCAGCTGCTTCTGACTTTTAGGATAAGCCCAGACTGGAGCTCCCAATGCCCCGATCTCCTCACCCCTGCCTCATCTCCTCTCTTTCCTTTGCTCCTTCCCCTCCATGCTTCCCTTTCTGAGGGCATCATGCCCCTGCCTCAAGCTACTCCTGACCGGTTCCGGAGCCTGGAATCCAACTGCCCGCACAGCCCCATCCCAATCTAGTGAGTGTCACTCATCTTGCAAAAGGCTCTTCTTCCAAGAAGCCTTCCCTTGACTCCCAATTCCCAAGGCCAAAGCCTTGGCTCTTGCTTTTTTGGGACCCAGCACGCTCCCATTGCTGAGCTTATCACAATTAAAAATGAGTTCTCGGGGCGCCTGGGTGGCTTAGTCGGTTAAGCGTCCGACTTTCGCTTAGGTCATGATCTCGCGGTTCGTGGGTTCGAGCCCCGCGTCGGGCTCTGTGCTGACTGCCGGCTCGGAGCCTGGAGCCTGTTTCAGAATCTGTGACTCCCTCTCTCTCTGACCCTCCCCTGCTCATGCTGTCTCTCTCTCTCTCTCTCCTAGAAATAAATAAAACATTAAAAAAAAATTAGAAAAAAAAATGAGTTCTCATCTATGTAACACTGACCTAACTGCCGTCTCCCCGGCTAGACTGCTGTGAGCCCAGGAGACAGGGACGTCTGTCGGGTTTGTACCCCATCGCCACTGCTGGCTCAAGAAATACCTGCTCTAGATGAACGGATCAACGGCTTCTCCCTGGATCCTCAAGCTTCCGCTCCTTGCAACTGTCTGGAGCTGGTTTCAGGGCGGTCTGCCGGGGCCTCTCTCCACCTCCCTCTGGGAGTCCATCTGTCTGTGTGTCTGTGTCTCCGGCCTGTGCAGGGGTGACGTGCGAGACGGAGGTGGACGAGTGTGCCTCGGCGCCCTGCCTGCACGGGGGCTCGTGCCTGGACGGCGTGGGCTCCTACCGCTGCGTGTGCGCGCCGGGCTACGGGGGCGCCGGCTGCCAGCTGGACCTGGACGACTGCCAGAGCCGGCCGTGCGCGCACGGGGGCCGGTGCCACGACCTGGTTAACGGGTGAGCGGCGGCGGCGTGGGCGGCGGGGAGCGCGAAGGCGGCGGAGGCAGGCGGGCCGCAGGCCGCGGAGTGCTCAGCCCGGGCCTCGCTCCCCGCTGCAGCTTCCGGTGCGACTGCGCGGCCACGGGCTACGAGGGCGCGCGCTGCGAGCAGGAGGTGCTGGAGTGCGCGTCGGCTCCCTGCGCCAACAACGCGTCCTGCCTCGAGGGCCTCGGGACCTTCCGCTGCCTCTGCTGGCCAGGTGCGTGCGCGCGCACGCTGCGGTTCCCGGGCGCCGCGCGCAGCCGCCGCGTGTCCGTGCTCGCGTGCCCTCGGAGGGTGTGCAGGTGACTGCGGCCTCTCTGAACGTAAGGTTTGCAGTAATCTGCCAGTTAGGGCTCATCACAGCGCCTGCTCCTCGCATTGTTGCGAGGAAGGGAAGGGTGGGGCCTCGGCAGGTGCAAAGCGCTCCGCAGTCCTCCTAAGAATAGTAACAGGACCCTGCTGAGGGCCGCCTGGTCATCCCTGCCCTCCTCGTTGCATTCCTCCCTCACCACTGGTGCGCGGATTCTGAGCTGTCGTCCCAGCCTGGGCCCGGGTTGGCCTGGCAGCGGTGGCGGGGTGCTGCCCGGTGACCCCGCGTGACCGGCTGTGCGCGCGCGCGCCTTCAGGCTACAGTGGCCAGCGGTGCGAGGTGGACGAAGACGAGTGTGCGTCCGGCCCCTGCCAGCACGGGGGGCAGTGCTTGCAGCGCTCCGACCCAGCCCTCTACGGAGGCGTCCAGGCCGCCTTCCCCGGCACCTTCAGCTTCCGCCACGCTGAGGGTTTCCTGTGCCGCTGCCCTCCGGGCTTTGAGGGTGAGTCCCCCTACACCCTTCCAGGGAGGCAGGTCCCCCGGTGTCCGGATGCAGGTCTAACCCTGTCGCGCAGCGTGCCACCTGCCCGAGTCAGCATTTCTCACCGCGCCTCGGTCTTCAGAGCTCTAAAATGGGCCCTTCCAACGCCGGTCTGGTGGGAACCACAGCTGGCCTTCTTGCAGGGGACGAATGCGACGTGGACGTGGACGAGTGTGCCTCATGGCCGTGCCTCAATGGAGGCCGCTGCCAGGACCTGCCCAATGGCTTCCAGTGCCACTGTCCGGATGGCTACACAGGTGCCTGGGGGGTGGGCTGGGCTCTGGGGCAGAGCGAGGTCAGAGTTGTTGGGCCTGGGGTGAGAAGTTTCCTCTTCTGGCTGATGTGTGGAGGCTGGACTGACGGGGACGAGGAGATCAGGAAGGAGGGGGGTGTGGGGGTCCAGGTGACAGCTAAGAGGGGCAGAGCCGGGACCGGGCTTTAGAGGTGAAAGTGGTGGAAACTAGCTCTCAGGAGGGACAGTCTGCAGGCCCTAGGGGTTAGTCCAGCTGTGTGTGTGGGAGGCATCAGGGATGCTGGCTGCTTCTGCCCTGGGAGACGTTGGGTGAGCCTTGTCCGTTCTGAGCCTTGCCTGTGCTCCCTGTGGAGCACCCATGGGGAGGAGCCCGGGTGGGGGTTGGTGGTCCTGGGTCTGGGGCCTGGGAAAAGCCAGAGGCTGGAGGCCAGTAGTACAACCGTGGCAGCTGGAGCCATGGTGGCCGAGGCTGTCCAGGAGAATGTGTGCAGTGATGGGCAGAGAGAGCCCTAGACACCTGGCATCCAAGAGCCCAGCCGAAGCCGATGGGCCTAAAGGGAGAGGGCGGCAGTTTGGCCAGGAAAGAAGAGGTAAAGGGGGGCATCCCAGCCCGCCCTCTGGGGAGCTGCTGCCTACTGGGCAGGAGTTGGGCTGCAGAAAGCCTCTCCCTGCCTTGGGTACTGCAGATGCGTAGACACACAGATATGCTTGCGCAGACACCAGTGAACCTGAAGAACTCCTCACGCTCTCTGAGTGTCCCTGCCCCCTCTGGAATGCCTGTGACGCTTCCCCCACACCCGCCCGCATTCCTGCCTGGGCACACTGCCTCCTCTCCCTGGCAGATTTCCTGGGCACTGCCCTGGGGAAGGAGGTGGTGATCACCGTCCCTCCCACCCCAGCTGCCCAGAGATGCTGGACTGTGTCCCCCAGCCCCGGGGTGGCCGACACCCCCGGGTGCCCTGAAAGCCCATCTTCTGTCCCTCATGGGCCAAGATTCCCTGAGCCCTGCCTGGGAGCCATGGCTCGCAGGTTCCAGGGACACCCCAGGCCCACAGCGGCACATGCCACCTCTGAAGAGCACGTCTGTGCATTTCGTTCTGCCCTCGGCACGCCCCCGCGAGGCAGGGCTCTTACGCACGAAGTGATGGATGCTGGAGAGAGAGGGTGTCGTTCCCTGAGGTTCACAGCGTCAGCCAAAGCCCAGCTCCTCCCCAAGCTGAGCTCAGCGGGCGGGTGACAGGGAGGTCAGGTCTGAGGTCAGGGACGGGATGGGGGAGCCCTGGCTGTTGGGCTGTGCTGCTTGCCACTGTCCACCCCCATCCTCCCTTTTGGTCGTGCTGGCCTGGGGGAGGCCAGTGCCTGGCATTCCTGAGCCGGTTCTGAAGGAGGCGGCTGGCTGGGCGGGGAGCTCTGCTCCCCGGGCTCTGCACCCACCCGCCACGCTAGGCCGTCCGTGGGAAAATGCAATGGGGCCGCGGGCTCTGTGGACCTTCCTGGGGGGCCTGAGGCTCCTGGCAGGTATGCAGGGCCTTGGGCAGGGTGAGGTGTGGCTGGCTGCCCCCAGGAGGAGGCTGTGGTGTCTGTGGGCTGACGGGGGCCAGGATTCAAATCCTGGTGGCTTCTTTGGGCCTGGCCTCCTCCAGCTAGGATATGGGGCAAGGGCCGGCCTTGGTTGTTTTATGGAGCCTCTGGCTGAGCTGGGGTTGGGCATGGTCTCTTGACCCAAGCTGGGACCAGAAGCTCTTGGAGGGGAGGGTGATGTGGCCCCTTCGGCGTGGGGCCCTGGGGGCAGAGGGACCAGGGGATGAAGACTGGATGCATACGCCCACCCCTGCTTCCTCCTCCATTCTGGCACTCTGTCCACTAAAGCTGTGTCAGACCCTTTGCCAGGCACCAAGGACACATTCAGGTCCCTGGGGGAAATCCCAGCTGAGTAAAGAGATACTTTCAGTCTGGGGAGCTGTGTCTGGGGGTGGGCAAGGAGTTGGGGGGGACACAATAGCTTGGGAATCAGAAAAATCCCTCTTTGGGCTTTGCAGGATGAGTAGGAGTTCGAAAGGCAGAGTCAGTGAGGAGGAGGCGGAGACATTCCAGGGCAGTATGAGCAAAGTCCCCAGAGAAATGTTTTCCAGGAAATGCCTGGAGAAACAGGCAGTTCGAGGTTTGTAGGGAACAGGACTGAGGCTGGAGGACTGTCCCCAGCCCCTGGGGGATGTGGAATGCCAAGGTGAGTGAGTGCACCTTAAGCAGCAGGGGAATCTGGCCAGGCCATGCTTAGAAATAGACCTTTGGCTGCTGGTGGAGATGGATGGTAGAGGTGGCTGAAGGCAGGCAAAGTAGAGGACACTAGACTGTGGTCCTCAGAGCGGCTGAGGAGGAGAGGTGGAGGAGGGGAAAGGGGGAGACCAGAGAGCATTTAGGGGGTTGGATCCACAGGGGGTGGAGACCCACCAGGCGTGGTGAAGGAAGGGGCATCTTGGAGTCCAGCCTCCAGGGACTTCAGGGGACCGTGAGAAATCCTTTGGGAATTGGGAATTGATTTGGTTGATAGGTGCTGAGATCCCTGTCCCAAGAGGCATGTAAGTTCTGCACCAAGATCGTGGTTCTTGCCTTGAGTGCTGAACCTTGGCCTGGTCTCTCCTGAAGGTCTGACGTGTCAGGAAGATGTGGACGAATGCCTGTCAGAGCCCTGCCTCCACGGCGGGACCTGTGACAACACCGTGGCGGGCTACACCTGCTGGTGCCCGGAGCCCTGGGGCGGGCACAACTGCTCTGTGCGGCTCACCGGCTGCCAGGGCCACACTTGCCCACCCGCTGCCTCCTGCATCCCCATCTTCAAGTCTGGGCTCCACAGCTACGCCTGCCGCTGCCCACCTGGTACCCACGGGCCATTTTGTGGCCAGAACACCACCTTCTCTGTGGTGGCCGGGAGCCCAGTGCAGGCGTCGGTGCCCGCTGGAGGTCCCCTGGGTCTGGCACTGAGGTTTCGCACCACACTGCCTGCCGGTGCCTTGGCCATGCGCACTGACGCTCGGGACAGCTTGGAGCTGGCACTGGCAGGGGGCACGCTGCAGGCCACACTCTGGAGCCATGGCAATGCCACCGTGCTGTCCCTGGGGCCGCCGCATCTGGCCCTAAATGATGGCCACTGGCACCCAGTGGAGGTTTCGCTCCGCCCGGGGGTCCTGGAGCTGCGGCTCTGGCACGAGGACTGCCCTGCCCGGCTGTGTGTGGCCTCCAGTCCTGTGGCCCCGGCTCCCGTGGTGGCTTCCGCAGCTCCGATGCCTGCCGGGTTCTGCTCCACCCGACTGGGTGGCGCCGCCTTTGAAGGCTGCCTCCAGGATGTACATGTGGACGGGCACCTCCTGCTGCCCGAGGATCTCGGCAAGAATGTTCTCCTGGGCTGCGAGCGCCGTGAACAGTGTCAGCCTCCGCCTTGTGCCCACGGAGGGGCCTGCGTGGACATGTGGACTCACTTCCACTGCAACTGCCCCCGGCCCTATAGCGGTCCTACGTGTGCTGACGGTGAGGAATAAGCCTGGGGTCCCCGGGAGAGAGTCTGCTGTCCCCTTGGCCACGGTCCTCACACCTGACACCCTCTCTCCCCGCAGAGGTTCCTGCTGCCACCTTTGGCTTGGGGGGCACCCTGAGCTCTGCCTCCTTCTTTCTCCACCAGCTGCCAGGCCCCAACCTCACCGTGTCCTTCCTCCTCCGGACTCGGGAGCCTGCTGGCCTGCTGCTCCAACTTGCCAATGACTCAGTAGCTGGGCTAACAGTATTCCTGAGCGAGGGCCAGATCCAGGCCGAGGTGCCGGGCGGTCCCACTCTGGAGCTCCCCGGGCGCTGGGATGATGGGCTCCGCCACCTGGTGACGCTCAGCTTCGGGCCTGACCAGCTGCAGGGCTTGGGGCAGGAGGTGCACGTGGGTGGGAGGCTCCTCCCTGCGGACGCCCGGCCCTGGGGTGGGCCCTTCCGAGGCTGCCTCCAGGACCTGCGACTCAATGACCTCCGCCTCCTGTTCTTTCCGCCGCTGCTGGGGAACTCGAGCCAACCCGGTGAGCTGGGCAGCGGTCGGTCCCGGAACCTCACCATGGGCTGCGTCTCCGAGGACACATGCAGTGTGAGTTCCCTGGGAAAGCGGTGGGTCCCTTTCTCGAGGGTCTCCCGTGCATCGCTGGGGTTAGCACACCCTCTCGCCCGCGAGCACAGTGGCAGGAGGTGAAGCACTGTACCCGGGTTCCCGCTGCTGGAGAGCGAGAGCTGGATTCACATTACTCTCTCCAGCCCAGCCCTCTGGGGGTCCCCATACCTCCCTCTTGGTCTGAGACAGGCACCCTGACCCAGGCAGAGGGCTAGCTGAGCCTTTCTATAGGAGGGACAGGGACACCCCTGGGTCCACAAACAAAGCACCAGCCTTGGAATTGGAATAGCTGGAGTTTCACCTCTGGCTCCTCTATTTACTGGCTGGATGACTCAGGCAGGTGGCTTCTCCGAGCCTCAGTTTCTTGATCTGTAAAATGGGGACAATAGCGACTTCCTCTCTAATTGTTGGTGAGGAGTTAATGTGTCTGTAGGGATCATGGTGGGGAGATGAGAGCCCCCAGGCCTGAGCCAATCCCTGCCCTGATTCTTCTGCAGCCTGACCCCTGTCTCAATGGGGGAATGTGCCTTGTCACCTGGAATGACTTCCACTGCACCTGCCCTGTCAACTTCACGGGGCCAACGTGTGCCCAGCGGCTGTGGTGTCCTGGTCAGCCCTGCCTCCCGCCTGCCACCTGTGAGGAGGTCCCTGATGGCTTTGTCTGTAAGTGTGTGCGGTGGGCGGCCCACAGGCTGGATTCTGGACACCCAAGCTGAGTTGAGCCGCTCTTACCCTGAGGGCACAGAGCGCACCAGGATGCCAACAGCCCCTGCCCAGTGTGGTTAGGCCACTGCATGCAGAGGGACAGGTTTTCTGGAGGAAGACCCCACTCACCAGGTTTCCAAGGGCAAGTAAGGCTGACTGGACACAGGGAAGGGCAACAGCACTTACAAAGGCCCTGGGGGTTTATAAGAACAAGTAAAACACAGTTACAGGTGTTGGGGTGGAGCTGTTGCCAGGAGGGGCCTTGAAAGCTAGGCCGGGCAGCTCAGGACTTGTTCCCAAGGGCAGTGGGGAACCATGGGACCGTTTTAAGCAGGAGAAGGACATGATCAGCATTTTAAAGAGATGACCTCATTTTATTAAAATGCATGATCAGCATTTAAAAATCTGCATTAAAAAAAAAAAAGATGACTGCAGTGAATAGCGAGCCTCAGTGATGAGACCGAGCCAGTCCACTGAGGAGGGAAGGGGGCAGGCTTTTCAGGGCATTATTGTTGCCTGGTCTGTGACCTGGGGGGGGGGGGGGCGGGGTAGGGTGGGGGCAGGTGTCCCCAGCACCGCCTGGAGCTGGTTCTCTGAGGTACGTAATTACGAGTGGGTGGAGGCCACAGCGTGGGGATGGTGGTGGTGGTTCCTAGAATTCGGTGATAGGCGGGTGTGTGTGACCCCTTGAGATGGGCCGGGGCGATGGGGGCGGCAGGTGTCTCACCCAGGTGCTTGGGCCGGGGTGGGGCCCGCTGGGCCATTCCCCGACGCTCCCTCTCCCCGCAGGTGTGGCCGAAGCCACGTTCCGCGAGGGCCCCACGGCTGCTTTCAGCGGGCACAACGCGTCGGCCGGGCGCTCGCTCAGCGGCCTCTCGCTGGCCTTCCGCACGCGCGACCCCGAGGCCGGGCTGCTGCGCGCCGCCGCGGGCGCGCACACCGTGTGGCTGGCCGTGCGCAACGGCTCGCTGGAAGCCGGCGTGCGCAGCGGCCGCGACCTGCCCGGAGCGGCGCTGCCGGCGTCGGGGCCGCGCGTGGCGGATGGCGCCTGGCACCGCGTGCGCCTGGCCATGGAGCGCCCGGAGGCCGCCGCGTCGCGCTGGCTGCTGTGGCTGGACGGTGCGGCGACGCCCGTGGCGCTGCGCGGCCTGGCCGGCGACCTGGGCTTCCTGCGCGGTCCGGGCGCCGCGCTCGTCCAGCTGGCCGAGAACTTCACCGGCTGCCTGGGGCGCGTGGCCGTGGGCGGCCTCCCGCTGCCCCTGGCGTCCCCGCGGCCCGGCGCGGCCCCCGGCTCCCGGGAGCACTTCTCGGCCTGGCCCGGGGCGCCAGCCCCACGTCTCGGCTGCCACGGAGCACGCGTGTGTCACCCCTCACCCTGCCTGCACGGCGGCGGCTGCCGAGACCTCTTCGACGCCTTCGCCTGCGCCTGCGGCCCGGGCTGGGAGGGCCCGCGCTGCGAGGCCCGCGCCGACCCGTGTCTCTCGGCGCCCTGTGCTCGCGGCCGCTGCCACTCACGCCCTGACGGCCGCTTCGAGTGCCGCTGCCCGCCTGGCTTTGTGGGCCCGCGCTGCAGGTGTGGACGATGGGGCGTGGCCCGGGCCTGGAGGGGCCCCGTGGGTTGCCCGGGCAGGGGCGGAGGTGGGGTGCGGCCCCCAGGGGTGGTGGTGACGCACCGAAGGTCCCGGGGCCAATGGTCTGGTTCCGTGGGCCAGCCACTTCCCATCTCTGAGCCTCTGTGCCCTAATCTGTGAAATGGGAACAGCAGTCCCCTGGAGTTGCCAGCTAAGACCCAGAAAAGTTTGGATTTGAGATAAATAACGCTCTTGTCTGGGGGTGCTGGGGGAACATAGAGCTAGGTTTGCCCAGCCGCCCGCCACTGACGCTCATCTCCATTAGTCCCCTGAGGATGACAGGGGCAGAATGAGATGGTTGGACGCTTTGATGCCTCCCCCTGTCAGTCTGGTTTCGACTGCCCCCACCTCGTTTGGAAGCGAGCTTAGGGAGGGTTGTCTGGTCTGACTTCCCCCTGAAATACCAGGCTCAAATTTTATGTTTAGGAACATGGCTTTTGTTCCAAGGAGAGTCCTGACGTTTCATCGGCTTCTCAAAGGACCCTGAGTGTGGGGAGAGGTTCCCGTGAAGGGTCCTAATGTTGTACACCTTGTTGGGGGCGGGGCTGGAGCATTGGAGGGACCTCCCTGTGCCCCATCCCTTCCACCGCAGACGCTGCTAGGTCTATGCAGGTGGGCCGCGAACTCCACCAGCTGAGAACACAGAGGCTCCGGTGGCCTGTGGGGTAGCTTCAGGTGCTGGGGCCTGGGCCAGGCTCCCTGCGAGCCTCCCCCAGTGTAGACACTGTGCTTTCTCCCCAGATTGCCTGTCCTGCCAGAGGCGTGCAGCTCGAACTCCACCTGCCTCGATGGTGGCCCCTGTGAAGGTGGGCCCCGGGCAGCCAACTGCAGCTGCCAGGAGGGCTTTGGTGGCCAGAGGTGGGTCTGGGGGCTGGGCAGGGTGGGCCCCCGGGTCCCCTCCAGCCGGGGCAGGCAACGTGGGGTGTGGCTCCTTGCTCACCTTCCCGGCCCTTGCTGTGATCGCAGTGCTAGACAGCCTACCTCTGCCACTTGAGTGCTTTCCCCCTGGGCTTTCCGAGGCGTCCTCTGTTGTGCTGGCCACTGGGGAAGTCCTTGCCTGGTGGTGTTTCTTTGAGCCTCATCCTCAGCCTGCCTGCCTCGGATCTGCCCAGGGAGACTGTACAGGTGCAGGCTCCCCAGAGAGAGGGAGTCAGGGTCCCCGGGCAGCCGCCCTGTGCTTCTGATGGGGCAAGTCATCCTCAGTCATGAATGCGGGGGAAGAGGGGGATGGTGATGGAGGTCCCAGATTGCTTCAGTCACGTGGCAGGGACAGTCCATGGGGACAGTGGATGGACATGCATTGGTGGGTGCATCGGTGGATGGGTGGGGGGGTGTCGAGAAGCTAAAGCGGGTGGGGGAACAAGGCAGCTTCCTCAGCCTCACCGTCTCTGCTTCGCAGGTGTCAGATCCCCTGTGAAGCCAACCCCTGCTTGAACGGGGGCACCTGCCGGGCAGCCGGGGGGGTGTATGAATGTATCTGCAGCGCGAGGTTCTCTGGCCAGTTCTGTGAAGTGGTGGTGAGTGATGCTACAGGGGCGGGTGGGTGTCCTGCTGTGGGCTTTAGTGAGGTGACTGGGGGTGGGGGTGGAGAGCACATACAGCCCACTGTTCCCGGACCAACCCTGTGTCTTGGGGTCCGGACTATGGGGAGAGCCTGGGGGGCCCACCTTCCCTCTGGGGACTGGCAGCGAGACAGCCAAGTCCTATTGGGGACCAGGATTCAGGACCCACAGGATCTTGGAATTCTGGAATTGCAGGCGGTGGATGTGCAGGTCTGTACTCTCCAGTGGTTTGTGTGCCAGAGTTCTAGAAGAGAGCGAGCTGGAGAGCCCAGGATTCGGAGCCAGAGCAGGCTGGGCTGCCCAGGGCAGCCGTGACCCCAGGGAGGCTCAGCCGAGGGGGCCAATAGATGGGGGGCCAGCAGCCCGCTTGAGCTTGAACCCCTTCCCCACTGAAGGGTGGGACAGGTGCCACAGGCCCAGTGGGCAGTGAGCCCGCAGTGGGTGCCGGTGGGAGAGATGCAGGCCGGGAGGCCTGGGGCGGAGCCTTGATCTCCACAGGCTTCTGGCAGGCCCGGTCATAAACCCGCAAATCCCCTCTGCTTCTGGGGAATGTTTCCTTTCAAGTTGAGCTTTACAGCCTCTGTCTCGTCCCTCCTCCCGGGGCCAAGGGAGGAGATGGCTTCCAGCTCTCCCAGAAGTGCCCAGGGGTGGAGGCTGGTGAGGGCCCATTCGGGGCTGCTATGAATGTTTCTCTATAGCTGTGGGTCCTTTTCTCATTCAGGGCTGGGGACAGGGACTTGGGACAGAGGTCACAGTGGGCTGAGGCTTCATGCGACAGAGGGAGTCTGAGACCCTTGGGCTCTAGAATCCCGGAATTTGGTGATTTGGAGGCGGGGGGTGGGGGGCACTTAATTCCAGGCCTGTAGAATCTTTGGTGGTGGCATCCTGGGAGTCTGTGACTGGAGATGGAGAGGGTTCCTGGGCCCCTTAAAGCCTGGTCTGTCTCCCTAGCTGGGCAGACCCTGGTGGATTCTGAGCTCCCCATCTGCTAGGTCAGCCTGCCCTCCCCCCTCCTGCCCTGCACAGGCCACCTGGCCGGGCAGCCTCTCTTACTGCTGCCCGAGAGGCCTCCCACTTGCATGGTCTCCACAGACACTACAAAAACCAGACCACCCTTTGGGATGGGGAGGGATCAAGTCCCCGTGGCCTCCGAGTTTACTGCAGGGACAGGGAGGCCGAGGTGGGAGGCTGGTGGCAGGGGCCATCTCTGGCCACTAAAGGAAGGGCCTGAAGCTGGGATTCAAGACCGAAGGGCGGTAGTGTGGCCACGGCGTGGGCACTGGGGGACACGGCCGGTGCCGGCTTGCTAGTCCTGTGGGGGGTCTGGGCCAAGCCTCTGTTTTCTCCTTCAATACTTACCCAGCGCTACCACGTAGGCCTTGCTCTGGGCACTTGGTATTTACCAGTGAACAAAATAAAGCAAAGATTCGCGTCCTTAGAGGCACCAGGGAGGGTCCTCACTCCCCCTTCATGAGACCACGGAAAATCCCTGGCGCAGGCTCGCACGCTCCTCCTCCCCGGTCTCAGGCCTCGGGCCTCGGTCTCTTGCAGAAGGGCCTGCCGTTGCCGCTGCCGTTCCCGCTGCTGGAGGTGGCGGTGCCCGCGGCCTGCGCCTGCCTCCTGCTCCTCCTTCTGGGCCTCCTCTCAGGGATCCTGGCAGCCAGGAAGCGCCGCCAGTCAGAGGGCACCTACAGCCCGAGCCAGCAGGAGGTGGCCGGGGCCCGGCTGGAGATGGACAGTGTCCTCAAGGTGCCGCCCGAGGAGAGACTCATCTAGGCCTGCGTGGCTGCTGGCTCCAGCGCCTGCGAGGTCCCGGATGGTTTCTACCTGAGGACCCACGGAGGCCCTTCCGGGAGCCTGCGGGGAAGTGGCTGGCCTCTCGCTGGCCTTCCGGAGCTGCCGCAGAGCCCAGGAAATCTGCCGGGGAAGCGTCACCTCTGCCGCCAGCCCTTGCATCTGCCCCTAGAGAGGGGAGCACCGAGGGGAGCACCAAGGGGAGCAGACAGGAACCTGGCAAGGCCGTCGAGGCTCCATCCGATCTGCCGGCTCTTGCCTCGGCAAGCGGACCGCTGTGCGGGGGAGGGGCACACGTGGGTGCACGCGGTGCGTTCGGAGGTGTGTGGGGGCACGTACCTGGGGACTGCTGATCTGCAGACGCCTGCGTGCGTGTTCTGGATGGGGCTGTGGGCAGGTCCATGTCCTTGCTGTGTGCGCACAGGACCGTGTAGTGGGTGCAGGCGATCCCACGGAGGGGCGGCTGGGCCGTGAGGATAACCTTTGCTGCCCTGGGGCAGGGGCAATACACGTTCTCCAGGAAGCCAGGCCAAGGCTTTGCTCGAGGACCGAGGCCTCTGGCTCTGGCATCTTCTCCCTCCCTGCCCCCACCCTGGAGGCAACTGGGAAATTGGGAGCGGGGGCAGCCATCAGCTAGTGGCCCCTGGCTCCCAGGACAAATGCTCCTTCAGGCAGCTGTCTCTGGCCTGTAACAGGGTCGGACCACGACCAGGGCAGCTCTGCGGGAGCAGAGGACGCGCCGCCCCGCACTCTCCCACCTTGCCGTGGCTGGTGGCCTGGGGAAAGCCGCCTCTGCCTACCTCACGGGGCTGTTGTGAGGATCAGTGGATGACGATGGGGAAAGAGCTCAGGGCGTTGTCTGGTACTGGCTTGTCTGGGTCACCCCTTTAGGTTTCAGGAAGGGTTGTCCCTCTGGCTGGGGCCGAGGGGAGGTTGGTTGGGGGAGGGGGGGCTTTCCTGGGGGCCTGCAAGAAGGCCAGAGGATAAAGAAGCAAAACCTCTGTCCCCCGCCCCCAGCTGATCACCTCTGGTTCTCCAGGGCCGGCACTCCCCTGTCACAGCTGCCTGGTGAGGCCACTCCTTCACCTACAGACAGGTCATCTCTCTAAATGGCTGGGGGGCGGGGGGAGGTGGATTCAGGACTCGCAGGAAGCCCTCAGAGCTGTTTGCTGAACTCAGCAGATGTTGGCATGGCCCCTTTGTGTCAGGGCTGGTCCTGCAGACACAGACACAGACGAAGAATGTGCTGCTTTACTTCCAGTCCCTTCCCTGGTAAAGCCATCACACTGAACCCAGAGGGGCAACCCCCCCCCCTCCCCGCCGGGCCTCCTCCCAGCTTCATGGGGTCCCTCTGTCCCTGACCTGGAGACATGCCCTTCTGTCCCTGTTTCCTAGGCCAGCGCCTCCAGTGCCAAGGCCAGGGAACCCCTTTCTACTTTTAAATTGGCGGTTGGCTTTACCCGGCTCCCCTTGGGGGTCTCAGCCAGCTTCTAGAGGCACAGGACCAAATCTGACGGAGAACCGCGTGGTGACGAGGGGTAAGGGGGCATGTGGGTGGCTGAGACCGAGGGGTTCAGCTGAGGCTGGGCTGGGAAGGGCCCTGAACGCTCGGGTAAGGGTCTTGCTTAGTCCTTATCCGATAGGAGGTGGGAACTTTTCCCCCACCTTTCTCCACCATGACTCCTGGGAAGGTGGGGGAGGAAACATCTGGTAGCAGCACCTTAGCCACAGCTGGTGCCTTGGTTATTTACTTTATTAAATCAGGTATTTGGCAAACCTGTGTTCTTGCAGACACCTGGAACCCCAATAAATAAAAATGCCACTTTCTTGGGAGCCCTATGTTGTCATCTCTTGTCCTTTACAAGCGCAGCCTGGAGACAGGGACGTGACCACATGAAGGGTGACTGGGTGTGTTTAACACCTACTATGGGTGCTTGGTCCCAATCTCACCCAACACGACAGGGGTACTGCCTGGTTTTAAGGCTCTGCCCTTGCTAATGACAGATCTGTGGGGCTGAGTTTCCTGCTGTTCCCTTGAACTTGTTCCCTGGAGCCCGGGCACTTTCCACACCATTGCTGATCTGCAGCTCTGCTCCAAGGACTGGCCAGGCCTGTGCACGCCTGTGACTAGCCCACCTCCTCTGCCCTCCTCGAGAGGGAGAAGTGCCTGGTCTCAGAGGCTCAGATGGAACAGGCCGGGGAGCAGGCCAGGGGTCAAATTCTCCCGACTGCTCTGACTCCCCCCTTCCGCCAGAGCTTCCTCAGGACACAGGAATGCCAACCTTTTCCCCAAGATTTTATTGAACGCACACAACATTCATCCTTGGGTGCAAATTCAATCCGGCCAGAGAAGAGACAACAATGCTCTCGAGAACACGGAGTGCGCGCCAGCAGCCCCCAGCACAGCCAGGGAGACCGACCACAGGGTGGGCTCTGCATCCCTGGGGCCCCACAGTATCCCTTATCGCACGCTTTGTCCCTGATGGGGCTCAGGGGTCTGCCCAGCACGGGTGGGCGGATCGGGAACTGGTGCGGAAACACCTGAGAAGCTCATGTGCCCGGACACCACGTGGCTCCCTCTCCACCTTCGTGGGCAGAGAACACTCGGAGACTGAGAGAGGGGGCCGTGACCGACTCAGGGAGGGGCCGTGCGCTGCGCCAGCAGCTCTCCACGCCCGGTGGCTGAGAAACTCAGGGCCAGCCCTCACAGCCTCACGGACCCACACAGGGTCCCTCAGACAATGACAAGGTTCCTTGGGGTTCCGGGGGCCTCCAGGAGCCCCCTGGCCCTGTCAGACACCTCTGAGACTCTATGTCTGACCATTCACAAATAGGAAATGAGAAATCAGGTCAAAATGCTCACAATTTCCTGCATGTCTCAGATGGTTGTTTTCTTAAATGGTTGGGCCATATTTTAACTTGGTTTATTGAAACTAGTCAATTTTAAGAATCATCAAATCAATAAAGTAGAAAGGAAAAGATAGATAAAAGAAACAATAACAAAACATTTCAATTTAGCTTTGGTGACGTTGGCCTCAGGAATTTCTACGCTATGTGGGCGGGGGCGGCTCCCTGCCCTTCTCCAGCCTCCAGGCTGCAAAATGCCAAGTTCATCCACTCCCCCGGTCCTGGAGAAGGGCTCAGCACCCCTGCCCGTTACTGATCAGCAGCTGGGACTCTTGCATCCATCTGTGGCATTAGGCTTGGCTTCCCAGGGGGGCTCCGGGTGCCTGCTTCTCAGCCCTTCCCCCACAGTCCCACGCAATCAGCAGCTGGGCTCCGTTCGAGTATGTGTGAGAGGAAGAGCACAGGACGGTGGCCCAACTCCTTCTAATGCACTCAGTTTACCTGCTGCTATTTTTTCTTCCACAAATCAGTGTTGCTGGTGCTCCCAGCCCCCATGCACGGCTGGCTGGGGCTGGGTTTGGCTACCAGAGGGTTCCCCAGGATCCCTCAGCCCCAAATCCCTACCAAGCCAGGAACAACTGAAGGCTGGGATTGGGGTAAAGACTCAAGAAAGAAAGAAAGAGTGTGGGTATCGCCTGAGAAGGCTGCAAATGCCCTTCCGGGTAGGCAGGCTCTCCAGCCCGGGACGGGGGCTCCTTACTCCGAACTCCAAACCACATGTGTCTGGTACAGACGAGCCCACGCTGAGGCCACCACTGCCGCCTGTGCTGGTTCCGGCGGGGGTGTGCAGGGCCAGGCTGTGGCTGGGGCAAGAGAACAGAGCTGGGAAGGAGAAGCCTCGTGGAGGCCCGGGGCTCCCGGTGGGAGGTTTCCAGGGGGATGGTGGGTCGGACCTGGTCTGGGACAGTCATTCGCCCAGCTGACCTCTTTAGTGCAAAACCTAATCAAGGGTGCAGGGGGGAGGGGAGGTGGCAGGGTGGGGTGGGTGCCCAGGAGCTGGGCCCATTCCCAGGCCAGAACGGGCACCATTCTCCAGCGGCCAGACCTCAGAGCCGGGTGGTGTGGAGGGGAGAGAGGGGCGGCAGAGAGGGGTCCCATCCTGTCCCACCGGTAGAACCTGGGCAGACACAGAAGAGCAGGGGAGCAGGGCCGGCCAGCCTCGGAGCCCGGCGGCAGGCGGCTCGGCGCGTGGCCCGGCTCACTCGAAGGTCTCCCACTGCTTCCTGAGCTGCTCTACTGAGCCTGGGGCCGGGGCCGGGCTCATATCCTGCTTGGTTTTCCGTAACAAATCCTCAAAGGGGTCTTTGGCCTCTCGAGGAGCCGAAGGCTGCAGTGCTGGCTCCAGGCCCTGTGGGGGTCTGGGAGGAAGGAGAGGGGGGTCTCCGGGCCTCAGAGCCAGCCCCTGCTTGGCCTCAGCGGCCCTGGCACTTGAGCGGGCCAGGGGCAATGTTCGGATCCTTGAAGGGGCGACCATCGGGGGGCCCAGGGGCTGCAGGGGACTGGTGTGGGTGCCCACGGGCATCTGGCCGAAGAGGTTGGGCATGGAGAGGGCAGACAGGTTGGGCTGAGCTCTATGTGGGACACAGAAGCCAGAGCTGGACAGCAGGAGGCTGGGGGCGAAAGCTGGCCCCAGGGAAGGAGGCGGGGCCCCAAAAGGCCCGGCTGGTGTGGAGACCAGGGACATGGCGGGCAGAGCCGCTGGCACGGATGGCACAAAGGGATTGAGCGACGGCTGTGGAAATGGGGTGGGGGTCCCTGTTGGGGGGAAGCTGAACTGGGGAGTGAGTGAGGTGGCTACATTCGGGGCTGGAGGTCCTGGTGGAAGGGTGCTGCCTGGCCAGGCTGTGTTAAGTGGGTCCAGGAGGGCCAGCAGGGCGTCACCGCTTGTGTCTGCAGCCCCCGGGCCCAGGCTGAGGGGCTGCAGCCGTTCGGGGGCGCCTTGGGGGGCAGCGCTGGGGAGGAGCCCGGGGAACGGGGCTGGACTCAGGGGAGCTCGCCTTTCCTGCTCAGCTGGCAGCCTCTCTGAGAAGTCTCCGAGGGCGAGGGCAGCACTGGCAGCCTGAAGTTTGGCCGGGCGGGCGGTGGGGGGCGGAGGCACGATGCCCAACTCTGGGGTCTTCCTGCCCTGGGGCCGGGGGATGGTAATGCTGCCCAGAGTGGGGGTGGGCGCCTCCTCCTTGTCACTCGGCTTCAGGATGCTGTCCTGAGGCGGCGGCCTGCGGGGCAGAGCCAGGGAGCTCCCGAGCAGGGGTGAGGGCTTCTCGGGGGAGCTGGCCGGCGGCTTGCTGGGGATGGCCATGTCGTCCTGGCCCAGGCTCCAGAGCTTGTTGTACGGGTGGGTGAGCTTCAAGGCCGCTGGCATCCCGCGGCTCCGGTCGCTCCGGCTCAGGTCCAGCCTCTGTTGGAGAGAAAGGGGGAGGCAGCGACCAGAGACTGACCTGGAAGGACTGGAAGGCAGCACACAGCCATGTGCCCCTCCCATGTGCCTGGCGGGCGCGGCGGCTCTGATCCCAGGCGTGTGGCCGATCGGGTCCCTGGGACTCAGAGCAGCTGGGCCCAGAACACCAGCAGAGGGCCCAGGTCTGTCCAGATGCCAAGCCCAGGCTTTTCTGTTTTCCTCATTTCTCAGACTCCAAGCCAGGCTTTTTTCTCACTGCACAAAGGGATTCCAGAAAAAGCCCTTGTCCTCTCACATCAGTGTCACCAAGCAGTTTTAGGAAAACGACTCCATGTGTTGACCATCTACTGGCTGGGCCTATTTTATCTTTCAAAGAATGTGGGCACTTTCAATCACCTGTGAGCTTGAGGGTGAGTGAGGCCCGGGGCCTGGGCAACGGCTGCTTCTCTGGCTGCCAGGGAAGAGGGCCGTGTCCCGGCTCTGCCACTCACAAGCTCCACTACCTGGGTGTCATGTCCCTTCGCGTGGCCTGGACTTCATCCTCAGCAGCAGGGGAACGTGACTCCCTGAGGGGCGTGCGCTCGAATCACTGCACCCAGGGGTGTGTTCTGAGTTCCACAGACCCAGGGACTCGGCAGCCTCTGCTTGCGAGCGGGAGGGAATGTGGGGGACTGCAAGGCCCCAGGCAAAGATTCCAGAATCCAGGAGTTTTGATCCAAAGGTTCTCCAAGAAGACTTGGTGGGGATGGGAGCAATCGCACTCCGATCAGGGGTCAAAGCCCTGCCTGGGGGTGGGGCCGGGGTCCTAGGAGAGCAGAGCACCAGTATGCCTCAGTCTGATGCGCAAATGCAAGTGAGGGACAGATTTCCCTCAGGTGTGGCATCTTCCACGGTGATCTCTGGGAGGGTGGTCTGGTGGCTGGCCCTCCCAGCAGGGTTTGTGGTCAGATTGACCCCGAGCATCGAGCATCGGCCGAGGATGCTGGCCAAGTCCCTGTTTCTCCCTCGGTCTCCTTCATTGTCACATGGGGGTGTCTGCTTCATGTGTGGAAAGCACCAGCCCTGGCACGTACCCACCCCCACCGGTATCATACCTGATAGTCAAAGGTTCCTGGCTGCTCCCTCAGGTCTTTGGGGGTCCGAAGGTCCTCCAAGCTCTTGGCCTGCCCCAGTGGCTGCAGCGGGACGTCCATGCCCAGGTTGTTGAAGACATCTTCCAGGAGGTCGATGCTGGCGGCCCGGTCAGGCGGAGCTGGGGCAGGGCCAGTGGGCTCCCGGCCTCGCTGCTCTGGACTCTCTGGCTCTTCACCTTCTGCGCTGTCTGACTCCTTGAGTGTCCGATATGGCTGAGGCCTGGGAGGAGGCAGAGCAGGCTGGGTCCTCTCACTCAGGGCCTCCACGGGAGGAGCAAGCAGCCCCCACCCCTCAGGAAGAGTGCACCCGGGAGGCCTGGGGACACGGGAGTGCCTGGGGTCCCCGCAAGTGCCGGAGTCTGGCAATCTGACAGACCTGGGGCTGAATTTGGGTTCTCCAGTTCACTGTGGGATGCTGGGCAAATTGCTTTGGCTCTAATTTGCACCAGGAAGTCAAATTAGTTCCTCTGGAAACACAGGACCCACCATATAACTGGGGAGTGGGCTTGCAAGCCATCCGGATGAGGCGCAAGGAACGGGACATGAGTAGAAAGGGAACAGGCAGCCCGCTCATTCCTGAGCCCAGCCGCTGCACTCTCACCTCCCTGTGGCTCAGGGGGAACTGAGCTGGGAGAAGATCTCCCCAGGGCAACTCCCCAGCATGCCTCAGGACCCTCAGGAAGAACTGTCTGGGCCTCAGCCTGTGCTGACCTCTGTTCTAGCTCTGGTCTTGCCATCACTTGCTGTGGGACCTTGGGAAAGTCTCTTAACCTCTCTGAGCCTCAGCCTCTTCCCCATTCCAGACTGTACCTCTCTTGCTGGCGGTGGTTATGTGAACTAACTACCATGGTGCCCAGCACACGGCAGGCACAGAGGCTGTTAATAGCATTCTGTATGTTTTTCTCAGACATAGGGGACAAAAAGTTTCTCTTACCTTCCTTCTTTACAAGCCTGAGCCCCCAGGGCACCACTGGGTATATGGACAACGGTGCCCAGATAAACCCTGACTTGACTGTAGTGAAGGCCAGGACAGAGACTGTTCCTCTGTGTCCGGCAGAAACTGCTCATGGCTCTGGTAAAGTGGGGGAAGGGTGCCACCTGCTGGTCCCAAAGGCACACTTGCAGGAACCAGGGCAGGGAACAGACCGCAGAGAGAGAGGGCTCCGCAAACAGTCTGGACTCCATCAGCCTTCAGTATCTTGCTGAAATTCAGAGAGGCTACGTACCTCACCCTAGATCACAGAGCAAAAGGTAGCAATAGATGCCATGTAGGAGAGACCTCAAAAGTGCCCACTGACTCTAAGCCATCTGACCAAGGAATTAAAGACTTTTAACCAAGCTTGAATACAACAAAGGGGTAGAGAAAAGTCCGTGTGCTCTTTACACTTAAGGAAGGAAATAGTAAAAAGAAACCATTTTATTTGGACTTATGATGGGCCAGTTCCTTTTTTTCCTTGCCTTTCCTGTGCAATTTATTTTTAGTCCAGTAGAGTTAACTGACATCAGCCAGTTCCTTTTCAAAGACACACACACACACACACACACACACACACACACACACACACAGACCTACACTTTTCTTAGGTCATAGCTAAAGGAGTGAGCGTTATTCACTACTTAAATAATTAAGACATCACTTAATTAAAAAGAGTGAGACCCGCTGCCCTCTGTGGTGGGGGGGTCCGTGGCCATCACTCAGGCAGGGCGTTTTTATCCGCAAAGTGATTCTGAGTTGATTATGTGGATGAATATGTCTTATTCCGATGGTTCTAACCTTTACTTAACTAACAATAGAGATAATAATTGACATATTAGGCCTATGATATTAGAGATATTATTGCTGAGGACAAGGTTAATTTTCTGAAGTTTTAACAGAAAACATTTAAAGAAAAAGATCTGAGGTACAGAAGGTGCCATGCGGAACTCAGGCAACACGGACTCAGGCCACCACTTTCTAAGTGAGGACATCGGGAGGGGACTGACTTGCCCACGGTCACAGGGGAGCTGCTGGCAGAACCTGTTACCCTGGGGTGAGGGGATTATAGAAGCAGAAATGGTGGGTTTATTAGGTGCCCTGAAGAACTCACAGGCCTGGCCCAGGGGAAGGGACTGGGACAGGGTGGAAGGGAAGAATCATACGGTGGCATTAACAGCTCACTCCCTAGAGGGTGGTTGCGGCCCAGTGGGTGTTCGGCAAAGGGCGGCTCCCTTCTCTAAAAGGCTCCCATTAAAAACGCTACAACTTTGTTCACACAGACAAAAGCTGCCCCTCTACTCCACCCCGGCTGGGAAGACCTGGTGGGTAGGAGGGTAAGAACTGGTAAAAAAGGGGTAAGTACCAAAGCTTAACACTGGACTGGACTGTGGACAAACCTTTCTTTTTTTCTTTCTTTTTAAGCTGCAATTTATAATTAGTATGAGGTGCAGGCGATACACAGTAATGATAAAAATCATCCTAAACCCAGGCAGGTCGGTGAAACATTTGGATCTGCCAGCAATAATACATACACTCCCTATCAATCCACATTTTTTTTTTTTTTTTTTTCTTTTAAGGTTAAAACCGGACCCTCCATCTCTGTGGTTTTCGGAGATGTGCTGAGCTAAGGGAGGGCCTGGGCATCCATAACCACTTCCAAGGACAGTCAAGGGCAGTCTCCCGGGCAAGGGACAGAGACTCATGCTCCCGTCTCACCCCCGTCACCTCACTCCTCACCACAGAGCCCACGGGGCTGGCAGAATGAACACCCTGGGGAGAGGGACACACGGGGGACGCTCACTCACCCGCGAGGTGGCACGGGGGCACCGGCTCCAGACAGCCCTCCCCTGCACACAAGGGCAAGCAGCACTGGCCCCCCTCCCCCACGCGGCCCAGGTGAGTCACCAAGCGGAGCTCAGGGAAATGGAAGAAGGAAGGAGAGACCATTCAAAGGGAGCGGAGAAGAAAAAGCTTTCGGTGAAGCCAGAGCTCGGGCCCTCTTCCCGCTGGCATTCATCATCAGAGGAGTCTTCGGAGAGGAAGACCGCATAGTGTCGCAAGGGCTTTACCAGGCTGGGGCAGAGGAAGACAAGAGAGAAGAGGCAGTTAGGAGGCACCCTCGGAACTCCGTGTGGCGGGGTGGGAGGGGGGCGTCTGCGTCCGCGCCTAGCCCCCACCTCCCTCTGCCAACCTGGGGTAGGGGCTCCCTGGAAGGGTCCAGAGGGCGCTGGAGGCCCGACGGGCCCCGAGGTGAGGAAGCTGGTCCCAAACAGAAAAGAAACCGTGAGTTTGCCATAGGTGTTGAGAGCCTTAAACACAGGATCCAGTCACCCATGACCTCGCAACCCCAATTCTGTCAAGAAAACCCTAAACGTGGCAAAGAAGGACACACAAAGACGTTCACTGCTGCCATGCTGAGGATATCAAAACGCGGAACATCCTCAACTTACAGCAACAGGAATCTGCTGGAGTGAACTGTGGTACGTTTGGCTATTACCCACCCATCAACTCTAATTAGTTTCTAAGAAAGAAAAATCTAAACTCCAGGATGCAAAATCGTAACCACATTGCATTCTCTCGCAGCTACTTAGGGGAAAACGCACAGAAAAAAGACTGGAAAGGGATGTACCTAAATGTTAACAAAACCTAGCAGGATTAGGGGCGATTTCCTCCCTACCCCCACTGCCTCTTTTTATTTTTCTGTGTCTTCTATGCTTTCTTCATGTGCATATCTACTTCAGTAATCATGGAAAAATAAAAATAGAAAGTTAAAGAAGAAAGTGAGCCACGTGGAGGAGCACTGGCTAGAAGGCCCTTTTCTGATTAGCGGCTCTCTCTGGAGTCTCTCTCACATGCCTCTTCAGAGAGTCTTTTTCATCTGTGATGTGGAAATTAAATATTCATTGTTATAAAAAATACATCTCCCTTGTCAGCCACCTGTGAGCTCTACCTCTATAAACACAAACACTACGCAGCCCCGAGAAGGTCTGCGCGGCCGCTATGAATTATACACTGACCAGGGCCCGGGAGAGGTGTGGGCCTGGGAGAGGGGGGGCTGGGCTGGACAGGACCTGGGGTCACATGTGGGCCCCACGGCTGCTGCTTAGGCCTGCCCACCGGGCTGGGCAAGCTTGGAGACTGGTGGCGGGGGCAGAGGTGAAGTTCAGGAGTGGATGGAACAGGCAGCATAGTGGTGCCCAGGGCCGAGGGTGAGGGGGCAGTCTCCTCCCCAACACCCCCAGCCAGAGCTGGCTCCTTTCTCTGCTTTTGGGTACAATTCCTTCCAGGTTTCGCTTCATAAAAGGGCACCATGTCCAAAACAGCAAATGGGAGCCACACCAGAAGGGCCGTGACGGACAGCAGCCATTCCTGATGGACCAGGAAAGCAGGCTGGGCTCTGATCTGCCATCACCGGTGCTGAGGAAGTTGTCACCAAGAATATACTCTTTTAAAAGCAGCACCAGGGCTGGGCTCAGAGCTGCGGAGCTCCCGGCCACCCACGTGCCCAGCCCCCTCCCTCCTCCATCCCTGGAAGTTAGGCAGGCCAAGAGCTTTGTCCTCATACTGAGGTGGAGATGGAGGCTCCCAGAGGGGAAGCCACTTGCCCAGGGTCACACACAGGGAGGTGGCGGGTCACTGGGCTCTTGCCCTTGCCCGGGCTGCCTGCCTGGGTATTAGGGACTCATCCTTCCCAGGCCAGAGAGAGCACTGGCCTAGCTGGGGTGTTCTCTGGACTCTGGAGCAGGAAGATGTGATTCACAGAAACGAGGCCACCCGGCTCCTGCCACACCCACTGGGACATAAAACGAGGCACAGAAGGGTCACCCCACACAGCCGCTGGAATCCTGCTCTGAATCACAAACCCAACCTTGTCGCTTTCCTGCCAGACACCTGCAAATCTACGGCGCCGAAGAGCAATTTCGAGGCGGTTGTGTGGTGAGTAAACCCAGTAAGTGTTAAGAACAAGAACACTCAGGTATTCACGGCATGATTTGCACAACTGTTTAAATCTAGCACTGACGGTTCTCCTGAGCAGGTGAGTAGGGGTGGGGAGTGGACAGGCACCCTGGCTTCATCATGCTCCACTCTAAGGAGCTCGTGGAATGTGCCGGGTGGGCAGGGGTGAGGGCTGCAGGGAGGCAGTGCCCAGCTCAAGCTGCAGGCAGGGCAGACACTGTGCCGTACGCCTGACCCCGTCCACCCCTGCAGCCCCCTCCTGCCCTCCCCTACACACCCCACAGACCTCCCTCTCATCTTTACCTGTTCTGTCTGCCGCACTGACTACGGTCTTGAAGACTTGACTCAACTGGCGCTCTAGAAAGTCTTCCTGGCGTCCCCAGCTGGAGCTTTCTCCCTGGATGGAGCTAGCTTCCCCTTGGGCTGAGTGTTTTAGCACTTTATCCATACCGCTCAACCTCTTGCAATTCTGTTTCTAAGTCAAGCTCCTCAAGGGCAGGGGCCTGCCTCGTTCTTCTCTTTATCCCCACATAGGGCACAATGTTAGTGCAATGGAGGTTTGCAATGGAATGAATGGAAGGCAGTGTGCTGGGGAGATGAAGCAGCCCCTGTTCATCTCACCCACCTTTCTGGAGCCTCCGCACAGCGCCTGTCCCTTTCATCACTTGGGGCTACAGTATAAAAGCGTCCCCTGAGGTTCCCCGTCTATCCTCTGAGATGCTGAGACCCCAGAGTGGGACCACATTTGGGGGTGCGGGTGTTGGGTATACAGGAGCAGGGAGGAGTCTCGGAAAAACGTTTAAAATAATATCCACTGTGCCAGGGGCTTTACACAGATTATCTGCACCCCTCCCAACAGCCTAGCAGGGAGGTGTTTCACTGCACTGATTTTACAGAGGACGAGACTATCATTAGTCCATCCATCCATCCGTCCACACTTCCAGGTAGAGGCACTTCCCGAGTGCTAGGTGAGCATGGGGCATCACTGTGAAGGAGAGAGAGATGACCCCGTGACCTGGCCAGGGAGTCACAAGCAGGGATTCCAGGCCAGGGCCCTCACTGTCCTGTCAGCCGGGCTGTTGGCAGATGCATACAATGGGACACACACCTCTCCTTAGGCCAAACTGAATGAAGCTCCTTGGTGTCCCTCAAATCCATCCCGAGTACCCTTCCGACACCCTTCAATCCAAGTATGCTCTCCTCCTTGGCTTCGACCAGAAGGCAGTGATCACACCTTGGCACACTAGCTGCATGCCAGGAAGGTCTGGAGTCACCGAGGAGCAAGAAGCCTTTGTGCTAGACTGGACCTTGGCTTCATGAAACCAGGCTGCTGTAGTTCACACCCCTGTCAAAGTCCAGGGCATCCACACACTGGTGTGGTCCGGGGTGAGAGGGGCAGGAGGGAGCCACTTTCCCTCTCCAGTTGGCTCTCCAGGCAAGGCAAGGCAAGGCGGGCTGGGCCGTGGGTTCCACATGAGGCCCAGAGTGTTTCTGGAATATACTGTCTTGTCTCTCAAGAGTGATGAGGACCCTTGCCAGGTGGTTTGGTCAGATCAGAGTGTTTTCGGGCTTTGGGCCACATGGATGAGGGTGATGACACGAGCTAAATGGTGGCCATAAGTTTCCTTAATTCCTTTGTCACATCCTCACTTTGCAGAAAATGCCAAGGCTCAGAGAGGGGTATTCACTTGCCCAGTGTCACACAGCAGCCGTAGGTGGAGCCAGGAATCCGGATCTGCTTGACTCTGCACCACTTTGTGATCCTGCCTCTTCAGTTCTGCGGATCTGAGACAATGCAATAAGGGGTAGGCTGCTCCCCCTTCCACTTTTAATAAAAGGTGAGGTTTCAAAATACACTGATTTAAATTCAGCTGCTCATGTCCTCCTATGAAACACGGAGTCAGATATTTGTCAGAGATAAAGGATGAATCGTTGAAAATGTCCAGGTTTAAATTTTTTATTAGCTTAAGGCAGAATAGGGAAAAAAAAAAGTGTGCCTCTTCCCTCATTAACCCAATTCAGCTACTAGCCTGCAGTCTGCCACCCACCACTCGCCTGGATTTGATTATACACAAAGAGCTGTCTGTGAAAAGGCAGGTCGTGGTGAACTTGGCTACCCAGCGAGGGGCTGCCAGAGTCTTGGCGAGAAAGAAAGGCTCGCTGTCCATCACCATTCAGGCCCCATCATCTCCCACGGCTGCTCCCGCCTCTGCCCACCTCATCTCGGCTCGGAGTTCCCATGCAGATGACTTCCCGAACCCTTTCTAATGTTTGGTTTAACGTGTCGCCGGTTAGCGCGCGCGCGTGACAGTGGTGACAGGCGCGGCTGTTCCTTTTTAAATACCATGTCAGAGACACGGCGTCAGGAAGCAGGGACGTGCTCTGTGGCTCTCTGCCGTGCCGGGATCGCATGGGCTTATTTTTTAATGAGGAAGATCTGCATCTCGAGAGTTTTTTTCATGTGTCACATCGCGTGGACAAATCAGCAGCACGTCACGCTGGCCCAAAATGAAATGCTGACAAATGTAGATATTTCAAATTTAATTGACATTTAAATGTACTTGAGATAAGGAAGGGGAAAAAAAATCAGCAAGGACTTGGTCTCCAGAGGTAACGAGGGGAGCTGGTGATCATTTTTTAAGGGATCATTTCACTCCGGCAACAAAGGATCTTTACTTTGTAAATGGCCGCTCTGGCATCCTTTGATTACGAGGCTCCTGTTGGGCTGATGAGTGGGGACAGGCCTCAGGACAAGGCCAGGTCCTGCCTGCCCAGTAGATGCCATTCTGTCCGGCTTTCCACACCCACCCCCCCATGTCCCAGCCAGACAGAGGACCTTGGGAAAGTCATTTTACCTCCCGGCACCTCAGTTTCTTATCTGCAAAATGGGGGCTCCACAGCCCTCCTGATGGCGTTGTCACAAAGTTGAATGACATTATTCATAAGGGGCTTGGCCTCATGCCCAGCACACAGTTACATATTCAATTACTGTCCATACGCCACGTTCACCTGTTAACAAACAGATTCTGGGCATTTTCATCTAGTGCAGGGTCTTCCCTAGGTGTTCAAGGATGAATAGAAGGTGTATCCTGCTTTCAAAGACCTTCCTGGTCAGGGTTAGTGGTCCCCGGGTGGGTGCTATCTATAGCACATCACAATTCCCACACCATCTCTCCAATACTGTAACACAACCCTGGACCAAACCCAGGCATATGAAGAGATTAAAACAATAGAAGATAGCTCTGAAGCAAGTCAGAGGGGTCTCTGCAGACAGGGGTCTCTGTCTGCAGACAGATACAGAACCTGCTGGACACTGGATCTTTGCACTCAGTGCTACGTGACAATACTTTAAACAGAAGACTGAATCACTGCTGTAATGAGTCAAGATCACCAGCAGAGGGTGCTCTTCCTGTCAGGTCAGCTGGTCTGTGGGGATGGGTAGCTGGGAGATGGGAGTGTTTTCTCACCCCACTGGGCACATGCCCTGACAGAGGGCAGTGGTGGGGGCATGCCTGGCTCAGGGACTCCTGGTTGAGGCTTCCTTCGGGAGGTGGTGTGGGAGCTGGCCTTCCGATCCCGAGTGAGGAGGAGGCTGCAGGGGTCTCTGGGAGGAGTGGGCACAAGGTGCTTGAGGTCAGGGTGGGAGTTTCAGGAAAAGAGGCTGGCCATGTTGGTAGGGACCAGGTGGTGGAGGAGGGCCTCAAACCCGCTGGAGGACTGAGGTGACGTGCGAGGTTAGGGGGTGAAGTGAGGGCTGGGGAGGCAGCAGGGGGGCTTACTGGCCTGACCTCATCTCTCTCTCTCTCAGGTTGGCTGTTCCCTTTACCTTTCTGATCGTCATCATTCCATCTGTTTGACTGTCAATGTGCATGTTCATTCATTCATTCCTTCTTGTGAAAAATCCCTAGTGTCAATTTCACATGCTCCACACCCATGCCCGAGGTGCCCCTCCCAGTCCTTCTCATAGGCAGAGAGGCCCAGACACAGGACATGGGCTTCACTTCACCTTCCCATTCTTCAGGCTCTTTGGTAGAGAGTAGATGGGCGTGGGGATACCATCTACACGTTTCCTACCCAGAAGAGTCACGACTGCCCCTCACCCGAGGACAGCCTCTGCCTGCTCTCTGCCTGAGTCTCCTGTGGGGGCCGTGGGAGCAGTGGCGAAGGGCAGGGTGCCTAGGGAGAAGACAGTGGGCGTGGCCGGGGGGCCCTGTAGACCTAGGTGCACATCGTGGATCCAAGGCAGGCCATTCCACCTGCTAGAGCCTTGGCTCCTTCACTGGCTGAATGGGCGAACACACCTGCGCCGTGAAGGCTTTTAGGGAGTTGGGGGGGAGGGGGCAGGTTAACCGTGACATGTAGAGGTGCTGGGCCTGAAACAGGCCCTGAGAAAGGGTGATGGGTGAGGTGCCCGGACAAGGGAGGGGCTCAGGAGAGGTGGCCAAGCTTTCAGAGGAGGCTGAAAGCAGCAGGGCTTGCGGGTGGGGCGCCTGCTGTGGGGGGGGGGCACTGAAGACTTGGGTTCTCAGCTGGAACCAACTCTCCCTGTCATGACAGCTCCCGGGAGGGCTCCTTCCCTCCGAGCAGCAGGCAGAAGTGGCTGGGGACAAGGGGGACCTGTGTTTTCCTGGGCTGCTGCATGTCCCCGGCGACTCCTCGGCAGCGCCTGCTTTTCCAGGCTGGGCTCAAGCTCCACGTCCGGCTTCTGGCATGTGGCTTTGTCTCCAGGGCCCAGAACCCGCTATGGGAGAGGGGGAAGGGGCCTGAGTGGGGTCCGGGGTCTCTCACATTGCTAATTGGGTCTGGGACCTTCTGCTCTGGTGTTTGGACTCCCGACTACTCAGGGAGTGGCCCTGGCAGGCTGCCAGGGGGTGAGTGCCCACACAGCTGTCCCTATCCCTGGGGCCCAGGGCCCAGCTGGCACCTTGGAGACTTGCTCCTGGGGCTGATGGCAGTTTCTGGATCTCCGGTGTGGGCGGGAGAGGTGCTGGTAGCTTCACAGTCACACCCCAATCACACTTGGCACACAGTAGGCACTCTTTCCACGTTTGTGGTTAACTGATACCCCTTCCCCATCTCCAGGGTGCTATGAGCTTCATCCCGCCTTCCGTGATTCCCTTGTCCATTTATTCAGTAAACGTCGCTGAGCAGAGGCCTAGGCTAGGCTCCGTCTGGGAGTTGAAGAGTTAAAGCTGAGGGTACATGGCCCTTGGCCTGGAGGAGCTCCCAGAGCCCCGTGGGTGATGCAAAGAGAATACAACGGGCAGGTCAGTGTGGCGTCAGGGATGCCACGGGCCTTGTGGGCACGGGAAGGGGAGGTGCAGCTCGTGGGGAGGACAACAGGGTAAGCTTCAGACTGTTGACAAGTAGTCCCTGCAGGAGGGGAGACCGCTGTGCCCCGCCAACTCAGCATGCCAGGGTGGCTCCTGTGGGCGGCTCCCCAAATCGTGCTCCTTGGGAGGTGAACAGGCATTGTGTTTAAAAAATAAATAAATAAATAAATAAAGAGAGCGGGGTGCCTGGACGGCTCAGTTGGTTGAGCGTCTGACTCTTGGTTTTGGCTCAGGTCATGATCCCAGGGTCTTGGGTCCTGAGTGTGGAGCCTGCGTGGGGTTCTCTCCCTCTCTCCCCCCTCTCTCTTTCCCTCTGCCCCTCTCCTTGGCTCACATTCTCAAAAAAAAAAAAAAAGGCAGGGAGCAAAAAGTCTTGCCTAGGATCTCTGGCTGGCAGCTAGTGGGCAAAATGCTGATCCAGATCTGTCTTTGGCACCAGAGTCCTAGGCTACTGCCCTGGCAACAGTTCACCAATCACACCCCTGGGGCAGCTCTGGGCCTGGGTAGGAGATAGCAGGCCTCTAACCTGCTGGGATCTGAGGCCAGCACCATGAGGGCTGTGCTGAGTGAGCCCAGGTCTTGGGGAAATGGCGGGGAGTGGCACATGACCTTTGGCCAGAGCATGTGTGCACTTGGCCCAAAGGGACACAACAGCAGTGTTCTGAGACCTTGGCTTTGGGCAGAGCTCTCACTAAATGCTTCTGGCAGCTTCTTCTGATCTTATATTAATCTTCTGGGGCGTTGGGTGCTGGCGTCACACAGTGCAATTTGGAAGATCAGACTCTACAAATTCCTCAGCAGCAGGGGCTGGCCGTTTGGTGCACAGACTATCTGCCCAGCCAGCACAACCTGCAGAATTTCTCCTTGGTCAGAGGGACTCCTGGGAGTGCCCGGGTGGCTCAGTCAGTTAAGTATCCGACTCTCAGTTTCGGCTCAGGTCATGATCTTGAGGTTCGTGAGCTCAAGCCCCGCATGGGGCTCTGTGTTAACGGCTCAGAGCCTGCTTGGGATATTCTCTCTCTTCCCCTTCCCCACTCACGCACACTCTCTAAATAAATAAATAACCTTAAAAAAAAAAAAAAAAGATTCCTAATGCAGCCACATGTTGCTCTGGCTCCAGACTCAGTTTTGCAGGCAGTCCAGAGTTTTGGTGGGAGTGCAAAGTGGTACAAGTCTTTTACCAAGTTACTTAGTAATTTAGAAATCTGCCTCTGGGACCGGGTAAGGGTACAGGACAGTGACAACCTCTCAGGGTCTCAGCTACTTCTATAAAATAGAGCTAATGATACCTTAACCCCCTCAAATTTCTCACGAGGATTAAATGAAATGGTGTATATAAAGTGCTTAGCCCGCAGTTCTTGACTAATGGTAGTTATTAATCATTCTATTCCTTATGATGATATCAGATGAGAAAAGCTTTAAGAACATGGGCATTTTTTTTCTGGCATTTCACGTCAGCAAACACCAGAGCCATGGACAGATCCAACAGGAGGGGGCGTGGTGGGGTGGCCGACGCATGGACGCAAAATGCGATCTTGCCACAGTCGTGAACAGCAGGGGTGCTAAGACCATGGGGCAAGTTCACAGGATGGAATACCGCAAGGACGCTGCAGCTTTCCAAGATATATACAGGAAAAAGACCAGAGGGTAACGTGTGGAAACGCTAGTAGGCAGGGAGGTTCAGAATGATCTGGTCTCTTCTGCCCAACTTCTGGATTGTAAGGTTATTGGGTTATTTTTACAGACAAACAAAATTTACAGACAATTCAAAATTTGAAAAGAGCAGATGTAAAGATCTGGCCAGCAAGGTGAGCAGGGCAATAGCTGGTGGGCCCTCGGTGCCTGAATCCTGACCATTCCTACTTAGTACATTGAATACTTCAAATAAGCAGCCTGCAGCCAGTCAGGTCTCCCGTGGGGGAGGGGCTTGGCTCGCCCGCTGGAGGGGAGACAAAGGTGTGCAGACAAAAGAGTTCAGGCTCTGCACTTGGGTCAGCACTGGGTGGGTCTCTGATCTATACTGACTGCAAGCCTCTTGAACATTAACACTCAGAAGACAGCCCTACCCTTTTGGGTTGTGAAGACCAAGCAAGGTGTAGGCTGTATGCGACTCTGACCTGTACCCTGTCCTGGCCACTGCCTGGCCCCCCCCACGGGGAACAAATGATGAGCGGCCTGGCAAAGAGAGGTCAGTCCTCTGTCTGCATGGCGAGCATGATCCTGAGGGGTGGGTGGTACCGAGCCCAGCGCTGCCTTTGAGGGTTTGCCACCGGCTCCTTCTAAGCATCACTCTGGAAGGGAAATTCTCCCATCCCTGGGAGGCCAAAGGGAAAATAAGGGAGGGCCTGACAGCCATGCATACTGCAGCTGAAATAACCTTTAACGGGTGGGAGATGGGAACTTCCTCGTGCCCACTTCAGCCCCCGCTGTCCTCGTTACTCAGAGTAACTCAGAGTCATACTTAGGTTCGTAACAAAAAAGCTCGGATCGTATCGAAGAAGGGGTGAAGCCTGTGTTATCAAACAGCTGATTGCACTATTTTCTGGCCCAGAGACCTTCGGCCAGTTCTACTAGAAAATCTCTCTCTGAGCCTCAGTTTCTCTGTGAGAGGTGAGAGCCACTGCCTGCCTTTCACAGTCTTAAGGGATGGTTCAGTAAAGGTCGCAGGCAGAAGCACTCAGGCACCAGGGGACGCTGCTTCTTTGCCTGAAGGACGACCGAACAGCTCTAGATCCCAACATCAAGGAGCCAGACGGGAAGGGTAGCATGTGGGGCAAGTCATCTTAGGACACAGAACCGCAGAAGTGACAAGGGGGCCCCCGTGGGCGGCAGAGCGTAACGGAGAGAATGAAATCAAGTAGCATGTGGAGTCGTGGCCCTGCCACCTGCTAACCAGATGACCCACTGGCTCACTGGTCAAATGCGTTTTCTGAGCCCAAGTTCCCATTCGGTGGAAGAAGAAACAAATACCCGCCGAAGAGGGCCTAGAACAGAAGAGGCACTTGACTGTACTTGCTGCTCACTGGCCTCCGACCCACAGCCCACGCTGCCTGACCCCTCCTAGCCCCGGCTCTCACCCTGGGGAATCCTCAGGGCATTCCACCAGCCCGCTCTGAATAATAATGGAAGTAGCTAGTACTTCTGGAGAAGAAATAGTCACTGAATATTAATTAGCTGGTATTAACTGAAAAACAGGTAAGGTTTTCCCCAGAAATCTTTCCGAAGCGTTCTTCCAACTGCCATCAGATGGTTGTAAGGGGCCGGGACACCCACCTTTGATCCGGAAAGAACATCTGACATAGGAGAAAATTTCATTTTGGGAAAATGCAAGTCCAAGAAGAATCGGCATGGGGATTCTCTTTAAAGGGCTCCTCTTTGAAAAATCCCAAAGAGCTCACACCTGGTAGGTTTTTGAAGCTATGTGCTGAATGAACGGATGCATGAATGGACAGATGGACATCATCTGGAAAGGAAGACCTGGACTCCAATGGTGGGCCAGCCAGGGAGCTGGCAGAGATGTTACTGGGCCTTGATGCATTCCAGACGCTGAGCCGCTGCGGGAGGCTGTGGAGACTGTCTTATTGTGCATCAGCTCCATCTTGCCGTCCACAAAGTTAATTATTTAATGTGCTATTTGGAAGCGAGAGTTGGGGCAGAAGTCAGGAGGACAGAACCTCTCCCTCCACTTCAAAGATCTCCTATCTCCCGCCACCGGCCGAACCCTCTAAGTTGCTGATGCACTTTGATATTCCCAGCGGAGACAAAGATGCGCGAGTCCAGAAAATCCAGGCTAGATTAAAGGGCTAGGCGGCGAGCCCACGCACCCCGCACGGAACGCCCCGTGACAAAGGCCTGTTAGGACCTGGCTCCTGCCTGCCGGCTCGTCTTCTGTGTCTCCCAACACAATGTGACAGATTGGTGGGGCTGGTTTCTCCCCCCCAGAACAATATTTTATGAGGAGTCTGTTTTATTAAAATATTTTCCGCTGGATGCTTCCTGTGTTTCAAGAACTTGGTCTTGCCAGCTGGAGCTGATGACAGTTGAGAAAAACACGTCCAAGTGCTGTTGTGACATGGCATTTGGAAGTGGAGGAGCACGATGGGGGTGGGGGGGGTTGGGGTGGGGGGGGGTAGGCAGCATGGGAAGAGACGCGGGAAAATACCCCGGTTGCACCAGAAATGTCACTGGCATTATGGGAGAACAGTACCCTGGGAAAATGTGAACAGAAACTCTTGGAATAATATCCGCGAATGGACTTCATCATCACCTGGACCTACTGTCACGTATGGCCGCAGAGAACCTGCCATTTGTGACCTATTTGTGAACTGGCTCCCGTGTTCCCACTGGTTCAGCTCAACCCAAATGGTTCCTGAACAGAAACCGAAGATAAGGCATGTTGCACAAAGGAATGAAAAGTGATCCGGGCTCAGCTCTGCTAACAACTGGATGATAGGACAGGAGGACACACTGGGCCTTTGCACGTACTAAAGAGGCCTCCCCCGTCCCTGGGCTGGGAGAGCAATGGCCTAAATGGACGAAATTAGGGAGTCCAACCTCGTGCCGGTGACCTGGTCACAAAATGGGGAACAGTTTTCAGTAAAGCATGGGGTGTTGCTGGTTCTGGGGTGTTTCCAGGCCATGCAAGGTGACTCTAGGCTTGCATCTCAGTATCTACAGGCCCTGCCCCTGCATCCCAGCACAGAGTCTAAAAGGTTTAGCCCCGTTTTAATGACACAGTTTTAAAGAAAAGTAATTTCATCCCTCCCTAAGGAGGAATCTTCAGGGTCTGAGGACCTGGGGAGCCATGCAGCACTCTCCCCACACGGGGGCAGTCACAATCCATGCTAGTCGGGGCCAGACTGTTCCTTAACATGCCCACAGTCCTATTGTGCAGAGGACAAGTTGTCCCTACAACCAACTTCGGGAGTCCTCTCTTCCACATTTCGCACGAACAAGCATATCTCAAGATGTGCATGCTTCAATGTGTGCACGGGCATGCGCGCGCGCGCGCGCGCACACACACACACACACACACACACACACACACACACACACGCTGTCTCCCATTGCTTCATTGCTTTCTGGGCAAGGCTCACAGGCCGAGGGCGGCTGGCTCTCTCCAGGAAGGCCAGACTGCAAACCGCAGAATCCTGGAAGAGCTCAGGCGTGCCGCAACCTGGGTTAGGCCACAGCTGGATGTTTCAGAATTTCTTCCTCCATTTGGCTCCTGGTTTGGCTAGGGCCTGCCATTTCCCTTAGCTTGTTTCCTGATAACTTTTCTGAAAGTAGAGTGGACAAGAGGCACATTCCTTGCCTTGCCCAAGGGACTTCAGGGTCCCGGGAAAACGGTTTTGGTTCCCCTAACAAACCCCAGGCCAAGATGCTTTCATGTACTTTCTCAAAGCATCGCAGGAAGCTGGTGTGTAGCTGCTGAGCTGTCTGGCTCTGGGCCCCGGGGACAAAGGGAAACACTTCAGACGGTTCTGGAATTGGGGCCGTGCGCAGCTTTAAGCCTCACGTCATCTGGGCAGCTCAATCTCCAGGTGTTGCTTGCCCACCTGTCATTCCCCTCGTCCACCCAGCACCTGTCCTGCAGGGGCTCTGAGCTAGGCCCTCTGCCGCAGCGCTCTGGGCCCGAGGGGAAGTGGGAAAGCCAGGCCCTAATAAAATAAACGCGATGGCACAGGTGAGCAAAGGTGTTGACGGCTGAGGAGCGGTGGTGAGTACCGCCCTGGGTGTGAGTCCAGGCTCTAGAGACCTCGAGCAGCCCAGGCCTAGGAGGGAGGTGGCCCTGGTTAAATAGGTCACCTCCTTGACTAGGTTCCTAGCTCTCCCCTACTGACCCTATACCTTTAAGAAAAGGCCTGGAACCTTCTTCTGAGCCTGTTTGAGTACACTTTGGGTGTCACCACTCAAAACCCAGCCCGAATGCCTGGTGGGAGGCCTCTGGGGCCTCTCGCTGGTGTGAGAACTGCTCGCAAAAGCCGACGAGGAAGATCAAGCCCAGCTCCCCAACTGACCTCTTTGTTGAAACGCCTGTTCAGGGCTCCAGGAACCCTTTCAAAGGCCAGGGCTGCAGCGTGGATGCTGCAAAGGCCCGGCCTGCTGGGCTCTGGCAGACAGAGGGGATGGGAGCTGTGGGGTACTCACTGCTCAGGGCTGGAGACAGAGGTCCTCCGGCCTTCCACTGTGATGTTGCTCTTTGGTCTCTTCGCCACATGTGGACGGGGAGGGCGCACCTGCAGCGGGCACAGGGGAAAGTCCCCGAGGAGTGAGTGGGAAAAGCCACACAGGGACATTCCGCACATCTAGATACGCAGCCCCAAAATAAACGTGGAGGCATTTGCATAGCACAGGCTACTAAGCCTCTGCTCATCATGAGAACGGGTGCTGAGCGTGCAGCAGACACCCGGACGAGAAGCCGGTGGCCTATTTAAGTGGGAAAGGCTCTTCTGAAGAGCTTGGTTTCCTCACCCACAAGGAGGGGACGGCTCCACCTCCTCCTAGCGGGGCTGCCGTGGGAGTTCGACCAGACACTGTCCACACAGCACCCAGAACACGGAGGCCCTCATTTACGGTAAGTCCCCCCTCGCCTTCTTCTAGAACGCTGAAACTGGTTTGGTACAATGAAAAGGTTTCACTCGGACTTTATTTCTAGGGTACATGTGCTTATTTCCTTCTTTTTTGCAAGTGAATTCCAGGATGCTTATTTTTCCTGAGGAGGCGGGGGGCGGATAACACGAATGATAGCATCACAGAGCGCCAGTGAAAATCGTTTTTCTGATCCCCAGGCTGTGTCTGTGCAGTTCTGAGCAGGGCTCGGCCCGGATGTCACACATCCCGGGGAGGGGGGGGGGGGGCTCCTACATTCACAGGGACCTAGCTTGAGGGTCGGTGATGGGGGTGTGTGACGGGGAAGCACACGGCTTCCTAATGGCCTGCAGCAACGAGATGTAGCCCTCAGAAAAAGACACCTCTTCTACCACCAGAGCCTGTGATGGGAGTTAGGCTAAGACTTTCTAGGTGTCCTTAGAAGGACCTTCATCTGGCCCAGTCAGCATTACACGGCTTTAATTTTGGCCCCATCATCTCTGAGCATTTCCAGTGCCAGAGAGGGACTGGAGAGAGCTACACCAAGAAAGTCTTATCTGTGATTTTTGTTGCCAATAAAAACACCCGGACATCCCCATCCAGGGGGCTGGCTCTCTCTCTGCAGATGAAGGGCCAAAGTAGATAAAATGCCACAATAGCTGAGGTCTTCAGACAAGGAAGGAGAGCACCCACACGCTCCGTTTACTGGCTCCCCTCTTCCCTGAGCCCCCTGCTCCCCACCCCCAGCAACCTGGAGGCAACACAGCACAATGGCTGAGGAAACAGAATACAGAAGTTGGCTGCATGAAAGACGAGTCTTTACAGAGTTTCCTCAAGCCCTCAGGTCCCTGCATGTCTGCTCTCACCGGAGTTTTTCCTGTGGGGTGGCCAGTCTGATCTCAGCCTTGTTTGGCAAATCAGAGATGCGGTAACAGCCAAGTGCATCCCACCAAACTTGCGGTCTCCCCCCACCAGGTTACTCTGAATGAGGATCCAGTGAGAGGGTCGCGGGGAAGCGCCAGTAAGGAGTCAGGCTTCCCTGTGACCTTGTCAGTAACAAAAAAGAGGAGGAGGGCAGGGCACCTCTGAAGGAGAAGATGCCATCCAGGATGGACCTGACCCTTGCCTCGCATCCTGCTCCACGCGTAGCGTCACAGTGGTCACTCAGCAAGACCTTTAGGAACAAATGAGTGTTGCTGCTTGGCATCTAAGAAGTGCCTAATAACGTTGCCGTCACTACTTTCGCGGTCATCAGAACCGTGCCCACTGAGAAGCAGACACCTGGTCACCTCTGCTAAATGAACGGATGGCTATGCCCCCCACCCATTCAAGCTCTGAACTGGTTTCCATGCCCAGAGCCAGACTCCTCTCCCTCCTGCTGCTGCTCCTCGGGCTCACGGGGCTGGAATGCTCCCCCAGACTTTTCAGCACAAAGGTGCATGTGCAGCGTGGGGTGACGGAACAGTTCTGCCCTGGCCCGGAGGTCCCGGGGTGGGGGTTTCGGGAAAGGTCAGATATTAACACCTGTCAGCCCGTCCTCGCACACGGCTGCTCCTTGCTACAATAAAGGCCGGTTTGGAATGTGAACTTGTGGCTGAAATGGGGGGATTAAGTTTGTGGCAACTTCAACTGAACTTGCAACGTGGTGAAACATGGGGAAAAAGAACAACAGAGCTAATTAGACGAGCTGAGCTGTCAGAGTGCCGCCGAATGGCTCAGCGCCAACAAACAAAAGGAATGGGTTGGCAATCAGCAGGATCGATGGAGAAGACTGCTTCATTAGGGATGATAAAACAGACAGAGCCGGGCGAGGGGGTGGGGGAGGGGAGCAGGGAGGCGGTGAGGCGGGGGAGGGAGAAGAAGGCACAACAGACCCAGAGACAGTTAGTCACCTGCACAGCTACAGACACACCCAGAGTCACACGAACCTGACTGGTATGGACAAAGCCAGACACAAATTACACGCACAGACAACCAACAGAGGCCTCCAGGCACCGGCGCTCGGCCTCACAAATACACACTCGCAGAGGCACGCACAAGAGTTGAAGGTGCATGCACGGATCACACACTTGCGTGCACACACACGGCCACAGACGTTCAGCAGGAGCTGCAACCAGGCGCACAGACATGCACGTGTACACACACACACACACACACACACACACACACACACAATGGTTTAATGACGCCCAAATCACAAGACGATGCTGACGACTGGCCCGTCATATTTCAGCGATCACATCCGTCTTTGGGGGGTGCTTGGCAGGGCTGGGGGCTGGGAGTGGGGGAAGAAAACACACGCACACACCGCAGCCACTGGCCCCGCCAGTGCTGGGATCCCGGCAGCGCCAGGGGAGAAAATGCTAAACAGGGATTTTGAGCTCTGTTCAAGGGGGACTTGTGGGGAAAGTTGGGAAACCAGCCAATTCCCCACTGGATTTAAAACCTGAGAAATCTAAGTCGGCAGGGTTAAATGTGTATTGAATACAAAAGCACCGAGTACATTTGATTTTAATGGTGAGCAAGAAATAATAAATACAGAGCTTATAAAGCGCTTCACATGTGGCCGAGCACAGCCTGCCTCTCCCTTGCACGCCCCAGCCCACTCCCCTTCGTCCACCAGACACTGGCAAGGCTTTCTTCTGCTCTTTCCTTTCTCTTCCTTTTAAAAAAGAAAATCTAAATCCTCTGGTAACATCTGAACTCTAGCCACAGGTGCCTGGCTACAAAGCTTCTTCCAGAAAGGCTGAATGGCTAGCCCCCATGCCCCTGCCACTGCGGGCCAATGGCCGCACCACTGCCCAGACATTCGTGGTTCAGTACCCGGTAAAGCCTGGCGGGGGGCCAGAGGCTCCTGACAGGAGAGCGGTCAAACCATTCTTTTTAAGGCCCTTGAGGGACCCCGTGTCTCCCAGGATCAACCCTAGTGTACAGTGGTGCGTCCTGGAAAGGCTTACATGAGTGCACTCAGTGAGCAGACTCCGGGGCATGGGGCACTGCCAGGCCCAGAAAGCACAAACCTTCCAGGACCCCCAATTTAGTCCCATAGCCACCCTGCCTGGCAGAAGGTGCTCACGGCGGCAGGAGATGCCCACTTCATGCCAGGCCCTGTGCTAGTGTGACCTCACTACCCTCCCCAGGCAGGGGGTTGCTAAACCTATTTTACAGATGACGAAACTAAGGCTCAGAGAAATTAAATGTCTTGCCTCAAGTTATACAGCCAGGAATTGCCAACCTGTGATTCAGTTCAGGACAGGGCTCTCTGGCTTCCAAGCTCAGGAGAAATGGTTCTGCCCAGCACCTTGCCCCGGAGTGCACCGAATCCAGGGTGGGTGGAGCCCAGGCTACTGGTCTACTTGCCTCCTGCACAGGCAGGTGCTACTCGAGTTTTCCTTGGGGCAGCGTTTGCCTTCCTAAGTCCTCAGTTGCCGGTGGGTGTGGCGCCCACCCCCCCAGCTCCGTGCAAGCCCCCATGCTAGTGAGACCTCACGGAACCCACAGGAGCTGTCTCCAATACCTGAGTTTTCCCAACAGGAGTGACTCTGTCACGGATCATGCTTTGCAAGGGTCCCTGCCTGCCTTGGATCCTAGGTCTCTACAGGGAATTCCGAGAGCAGCCGTCTGGACGTCTGGCTGGGGGAGAGGTTGCTTGTGGAGGCGTGCAGAGAGGCAGGCCTGGGCTCCAAAGCCAGCTTGGCCTCTTAGCATCTCTGTGGTCTTGGCTGCCAGCTGGGGCAATGGCTCTGCCTCCTCCAGGCTGTGGGGGGGGAGGGGGGACAAATGCGACCATAATCACACGAGGGCCCAGCACAGTCCTAGGCACAGAAAAGGCGCTCAGTCCATAAGTGTTCATTCTCTTCACCTCTGTATCTTTGCCAAGCACCAACACTGCCTTAGAGATTCCACAGAAAGCCCAGCTCGCTGTTGCTAATTATTACTTTTTCCCCATCAAAGGCTCTGCCCCAGTATTTCACACTAAGATGGACTCCATGGAAATGCTAATGGAGGGTCCCTGGAGAGTTCAGTATGCTAGAAAGACCATGGGTTCTAGAGTCTGGTGACCCCTCTCTGCATTTGAGGGACTTGGGTTAAGTTACTAAGCATCAGTTTTCTTACCTCTAAAATGGGTGGATATGATGCCTACTTCATAGAGTTACTGTGAGGCCCAGCTAGGATGACTTGCTGACCTATAAAAAATCCTAGGCAAATGGTACTAAGAAACTGAGGTTGTTCCTTAGAAGTTCCAAGGTTTAGGGGCGCCCGCGTGGCTCAGCCAGTTAAGTGTCTGATTTTACCTCAGGGCATGATCTCCCGGTTTGAGACCCGCCTTGGGCTCTGTGCTGACAGCTCAGAACCTGGAGCCTGCTTCAGATTCTGTCTCCCTCTCTCTTTCTGCCCCTCCCCTGCTCACACTCTGTGTCTCTCTTTCTTTCTCTCAAAACTAAACAACAAACACTTAAAAGATGGGAAGTTCTAAGGTTTAAAAACCTGTTAAGGGTAAGAACCACTGCTATGTGCCAGGCACTGTGCAGAAGGGTAGTCTATGTGTACGCTCTCAGAGCCTCTGTGGAATGAGGGCATGTTAGAGAGACAGGAGGGATGTTAAAGGGAGAGAGAGGTGGGGCCCCTGGGTGGCTCAGTGGTTCAGCTTCCAACTCTTGGTTTTGGTTCAAGTCAATGGTCTCATAGTTCATGGGATTGAGGCCCCCACTGGGCTCTGCGCTGACAGTGTGGAGCCTGCTTGGGATTCTCTGTCTCCCTCTCCCCCTCTCTGCCCCCTTCCCTGCTCTTTCTCTCTCAAAATAAACTTAAAAAAAAAAAAAAAAAGGCAGTGAGAAAGGGGTGGCTCAGAGCTTCAGTACTTTCCCACAAGTCACACGGCCTGGGGACCCATGCCTAGCCTTGCCTACTCCCTACAACCACCATGCTAATTGATGCCTGAGGCTCTCACTAAGTCACACGAGGTTGAACCCAGAAGGGGCTTCCTGTCCCCCAAAGCAGTTTCCTTTTGCTGTTTGTGCCTTCCTTCTAATGACAGTGAGCAGAAACTCTTCAGCCAGCGCGTCCAGAGCCGTGCTGATTAGGTTTGGGCTAAGCATGGTTTGACTGGGTACAGGAGGGGGCCTCCACACAGGCTAGAACTGCAGACTCATGACTGCTGTGGGTGACGGTATCTAAGTCCCCTCCAACCTCCACCCCTGCCCTCTAACTCCCACACACAGGAGGGAAGGGAAGGAAGACAGGGCCACAGAATTTGCCAAGTTCCACACAGAGAACAGCCGATGCTGGGCGTGCGCACCAAGGATTGAAAACAGACATGCGAGGGCCTGGCCACCTGCACCCCTCGGCCGCCACACGTCACAGGATGGGGTCTGGCCGTGTGCGCTGGAAAGGGGGGTCAGGGGTTGGGATATGGGGGGCACTCTGGTCGCAGCTTGGTGGGAGTCTGACCTCATGCTGGGCTGCAGGAGCGGTGGCTGTCTGAACAAGATACAGAAACTCTTCTCTCGGTAAACAGGCCCCACCAAATGGCCCTGGCAAGTTTCCCACTTTGAAGGAGCCCGTAAAAGTGGTGACGCCTCGACACAGCCCAAGTCTGAGCTTCTGAGGAAAACAGGGCCCCACACCCAATACTTTTCCAAGGCATCTGTCCTTAAAGACCTTGGACGGGCGGGGGAGGGGCACCTGTGAGGCTCAGTCGGTTAAGCGTCCAACTTTGGCTTAGGTCATAATTTCATGGTGCATGAGTTCGAGCCCCGCATTGGGGTCCACACTGGCAGTGCATAGCCTGCTTGGAATTCTTGCTCTCTTCTCTCTCTCTGCCCCTCTCCTGCTTACATTCCCCTCCCAACCCCAAAATAAACTTAAAAAAAAAAAAAAAAAAGACTTCGGACAGGTTTCTCTGCTTTGCGCACCCTATTCCAGGGTGTTGGTGGGTTTGTCGCCCTGACTGGGGACTTCACTGGGCAAGATGGAGCTCCATGTGAGGCCTAGAACAGAAGAAGGCCCTGTCCCCATCCCAGATTCCCTGGGCGTAGCCTCTGCCCTCACAAAGGGACATCAAACGCATTTCCAAACCAAGATCAGGCGGGAACGAGACCCCTGCTGCCAGACTTCTGCTTCCTTTGTGAGCAAGAGGCGGTTGGAGCCGGGCTTTAAAGCTCCCTGGTTAGAAGCAGGAGTCAACCCAGGAGATGTGATCAAGTGACGCGCACACACGGCAAACACACCACGCAGGGGCCCGCGGCTACCTACAGCTCTGGCCTGCAAGTCACCAAACCGGCTCCGGGGGAAAAGGAGACAAGCCCAGAAAATGCAAGTTCGGGTTCATGCCACGCAGAGAGGGAAGCTGAAAAACCCAATGCCCGGTTCTGTTTTGCAAGGCAGCTGAGTTCAAAACCCCGAGGTTTAGTGAGGCGGGTGGACGGCGCAGGCAGTGTTAGGCGGCAGGCAGGGCCGCAGGCTACTCACGGGCCTCGAGCGCTGTATCTTGGGAGGCGGCGGGCGAGCGGGACGGCGTCTTTGTGGCTGTATTAAAGCGAAACTTAAAACATCAGTACATGTGGAGATGGCTGGATGCATTTCCACACTCGGCACACGGCAGGACACATCCGGTCGCCCAAGCCAGACCCCGAGGCGTGTCCTCGATGCCTCTCACTCCCTTGTCAACTGGTGGCCAGGCCCTGCACAGGCCCTTCCGGGGCCTGGATCACCATAATCATCTCCTCCAGCCATTCTCTCCACGGGCCGTGGGGATCTTCTAAAACGTAACACAACTTTGTGGCACCCCAGCCTTGAGACCTCTGCTGTCCTTCCTGACTCTTCGGGGGACCGCTCAACAAGGCCGGGGGCTGGCACACCAAGTCCTCCAAGACCTGGGCTCTGCTGTGCCCCACACAGGCCCCTTCCAATCTTCATCCTTGCTCACCTGGGCAGACCCTCAAATGGCCCTGGGCTCTCGTGCCTGGTTTCCTGCCTGCCCCTTAGGGTCGAATGACCCACCCCATCCTGATCTGCCTGGTAAATGTCTGCTTGTCATTCAAGATAGTGGGTCACATGCTGCCTTCAGTGCCCCCACTGCCTGGTGCTCCCTGCTGTGTGCGACTTGCACCCAGTCTCCCTCCTAGCCCCCGGCCCCTGCACTATCTTTCAAATGTTCATTTCCTTGAGGGATTCATCCCTGTTCTCTGGGGGGAGGAGAGGAAATATCTGCAAAATAAATGTTTGATGAACAAATAAAATTGAACAAAATGCTTGGCTGGGTTCTAACCAAGAGAGCACAGGTTTGCTGGCTGTATCCTCTGACCTTTTATTTTGAAAGTCAAACTTCGTCCTTTCAATGGTCTGCCTGCATAGATGCCCCGAACAGGTGTGGGAGGTGGGCAGGCAGAGGAAGGAAAGGAAGTCTTCACACTAGACCAAGACTACGGACCCTCCGCAAACCCTGGGAAGCTTCCGGTTGGCTCCTCCCCATTCAGTTCCCCATGTGGTTCACAAAGTACTTTACTATCCGACAGAGTCTACACCTGCACTGCCCACTGCGGCAGCCGATGGCCGCGTGCGGCATGTGCTGCGAGCATAAAATACACACTGGCTTTCAGGTACTCGGTTAGAAGCAAATATGTAAAGCATCTCAATCATTTTTATACGGATTCTATGTTGAAATGAAAATATTTTGGCTATTTGGCTAAATATCTTAAATATTAATTTCATGTTCCTTTTTACCCTTTAGATGCAGTTACTGAAACGTTTTTAGAATTGTACGTGTGACTTGCACAGGAGGTTCCCGTGATGTCTCTCTGCGACAGGGCTTTGGAGCTTCACTTGGTGGCACTGATTCTTCAGATATTGGACCTGCCTTGAAACTCACTCTCTGTACCCCACTCCTGGAGAGGAGGGGCTCCATCTCGGGTGTCCCTGGGTCCCTGATGCCCGGCACAGGGTGTGTCAGAGTAGCCTAGGGGGTCAGCTGGCAGAGGTACTCGGTAGAGAATTGGGCCCCCTCACAGCATGGCCAGGGCACGTCTGGACAGAGATACACCATGGCTTTCCAGACCCTGTGCCGTTTCGCCGGCATCGTGGGCCAAACCGTGCTCACAGACCTGTCCTCAGCTGAGGCCCACCTGCGGGATGGAAATGACCTTGGTAGCCCACTGCACCCTATTTCTTCTCCATCATGTTACAGGAAAAGTGTGGGGCCAAAGGGAATGGGGCTCCTCACTCACACTGCTCATCAAAGGAAACTAAAAGGACAGGGAGAGGGGAGCCTCCTGCACTGTGCAGGCTGCCGCCTTGTCCCTACCCGGCCTCTCATTGTCACGCCCCCCCACCCCCCACTTGTTTTTGGCCACTCTACTTCTGGGTGACCAGTTCTCTGGCTCGTAGCCCTCGCGGCTCATTGCCTCTGACCGAGCCATTGCCACCCTGATGGCGGGGGTGCAGAACCCTCAGGAGGCGGCCTTGGGGTCAGACAGTCTTGAACTGAACCCCAACCTCCTCCACCTCCACCATTTGGATTTCCACAGGCCCGTGATTTAACTACTTGTGCCTCACTTTCCTCATCTGTAAATGCAGGTAGTGGCATTACCCACCCGAGGGGGCTGTTAGGAAGATTCAGTGAGACGATGTTCTCCAAGATCTTCCCACAACGCCACCAGCCGACTTTAGCAACCATCACCGTAAGCAGGTCTCTCCCCCTGCAGCCTCTCCCCTCCCCATCCATCTCCACACTTGCTCCAGAGTGGAACTAAAAAAAAAAAAAAAAAAAAACACGCCCAATGGTGTCATTCGCCAGCTTAAATCATCTCAGTGGAAGGCCAGTGTCTCCCAAGGCATCTCCCAGTGCATCCCGGGAGATGCATTGTACGAAGGAAGAAAAGGGGGTTCCCTAGCCAGACATGTCCGGGAAATGCTGCCTACCGCCTTATTCCTTTTGGAGATTCACAATGCCAGCGAGCACAGCAAAGGCTGCCAAGTCTTGCAATAAAAAACCCACCTTAAACAGACAAAACCCTATTCACTTTTTTCCTGATATGTCCTATTTCTCCCAATTTATTTGAACACAGACTCACTTCCCCTATAACAGCCGTTAGTCTGCCCTGGAAAATGCCACCTGAAGTGTTCAAAGCCCTCCAGACACTGGCCCCACCCACAGGCCTCTGCTGTCTCATCCCTGGTGCCACGCCCCATCCCTCCCCGGTCCCCCCCACTCCATCCCACTCGGCTTACCCTCCGGTTCTCCCTCAGTGCTTCAATACTGGTCCCTTTGCCTGAAGCACCTTTTCATTTCCTTTTGTATTTGTCCTCGGATGCCTGGCTCAGGCCACACCGCTCCCAGGAGTCCCCCCCTGCCCTTCCCTGCCACCGTGTATTCACAGCCCACAGGGTGTAATTTCTCTGTTTATCTTCGGGTCTAGTCGAGTGCTGGTACATAATAGGTGCTCAGCAAATGATCTTTGGCTTAAAGTTTCCCACACTTGCAGAGATTCCACAAATGTTAGTTCTCCAGATTTCATATTTAACTTCTTTTCCTTTGACTGTCACCAGGAAGTGCTGGTTCTTTTGTAACTGAACTTACATATGGTGGGGAGAAAGTAGACTCTTGAGCACACCCAACCTAGAAGGCAGCAGAGTAAGTCAGGGGGATTTAAAGACACAATGAAAGGGTGATGTGGGCCCCACTGCTGGGGCATATGGTACTTCCCACAGGGCCATGCACCAGTGGACACACCACTCCGAGAGCTTCCCAAGTCTGCTGGGGTGGGATGACGGCTGGGGAGAGCCAAGCACCCTGAAGAGGCCACAAGAGTGAGCGGTGGTGATCTGGGTGGAAGAGGGTGTGAAGAAGGAAGCCAGAGAAGGATAAACTCAACACATCATTTGGCAGAACATGGCCCCCATGCTTGGGAAGCTGACTCGAGGACTAACTGAACATGGGGGCTGGGTCGCCTGGGTGGCTCAGTTGGTTTAACCTCTGACTCTTGATTTCAGCTCAGGTCACGATCTCCCAGCTGGCAGGGTTGGGCCCTGCGTCGGACTCTGCGCTGAGTGTGCAGCCTGCTTGGTGTTCTCTCTCTCTCTCCCTCTCTCCCCCTTTCTATTAGCTGTGCTCTAATAAAGAAATAAACATAAAAAAAAGAAAGAAAGTGGGGGCTATGGCAGTGTGGGCGGGGCCCAGGGAGGCTGCAGAGCTGGCCAGACCTGACCCCCTGCCCCTAAGGGCAGAGACCTGCTCACATTCTTCTCTGTACCCCAGCCCATAGTCCAGGGCCAGTACCAGCATGCTTGTCTCTTCCCACGGCCCCAGTATAAGGAGCATATCTATCTGTGAACAAGAAACAGACTGCAGAGAGGTAAAGAGACCCATTCCGTGGCCCCCAGCTGGTATTGGGGAGTCCTAGGAGTGGGTCTCAGACCTCAACTGTGCATCCAGTGAGTTCCTAGCACTGGAGTAGGTGGAGACAAAACCAGAAGAGCCTTATATCAGAAGGAGCAGAGAACTGAGAAGGCCAGGTCCAGGCACCTTTGCACAGAAATCACGTTGCATGAGATCCCCAATTCCCTGGCTGGATCAAAATGCAGCTATACCGACTGCTGTTTCTTGAGTGAGTTCAAAAGCCTGGGCCTTTGGCAATCTTTTGCTAAGAAGAGTTCCATTCAGCATTTCATCTGGCACTTCCTGAGCTGGGCTAGGGCAGGAGGGATGGCAGGGCTGGAGGTTTTGATAATCAACACATGCACCTGTTTTCTTGAAGGTCATGTCCAATCAGGGAAGCAGACGGATTCCTCCTATGGAACAACTACTTGGGGCCAGGACCCTGAGATTCAGGAGTGTGAGACACCGTTCCTGTCCTTAAGAAATGTATGGTTTGGTGGCATTTGACCTATCATAGAAAAACACTTCTTCGGCTATTTGGCCTAAAACCGAGAAAATATACTTTGGGTTAGAAAGATGTAGGGTCATGTCTCGGCTCTGCCGTTTCCCAGTTGAGTTCAATACTGGTTCTGTCACTTGGGCGAGTTATTTAATCCAAATCCAGTTCACTCTTCCACAAAACAGAAATATCCTGATGATGAACAGGACCAGCCAATCCCCTCCTGGACTCACAAGCCTTCCCAGAAAGGTCAACAGCAAGGCACTGTTGAAGGTGACTGGATTTTTAATAATAATCTCTCTTATATGCTGTGTTTTCCTTTCAAAGTATTTCTGCTTCTCATATTTCCTTTGAGACTCATATCCCCCGGTGAGGTAAGTTAGAGGAGGACCATTTCCCTGCTATAGTGGTAGGAAACAGGAGGCCCAGAGAGGTTAAGGGACTAGGTTGAGGCCACACAGCTAGTAGCAGGAACTAAAACAAGCAAGTATTCTTAGTGCACTGCACTATCCTTGTCAACTCAAATTTCCAAAGTCATCTGGAATCCCTTCTGATGTGGTTTTCCTAATCCTTCTGAAGTTAGAAGCTGTTGTTAGAGATCTGTGCCTAAGAGAAAAGGCACATGGGAGAGTGACTCACATCTTCCCCTTCCTT